AATCTTGAACATATGCTTTAAACATATTTATATTCTCAGAGAATCTGGTTTGGTAACCGGTAATACCTCACCGGTACATATATATATAACAGAATACACAAGAACTGGATACACAAAAACGTCAAATTAATTCCTATCATAAGTAGTAGCAAACTGTCACTGACGCCTTCGGCTAGGTGGATAAAACGGGACGCAAAAATCCCCGTATACGCCGCATCACAATAGTAAACAGAAATTATCTTATCGAATGTTTAAAGACAGACAGACAGATAGACATAGTTTTTTAAAGTGTCCCATGTATGTAAACAAGATATAAAATTCATATAAAATAAACACATAATGTTTTACATACATCCAGCCTTAACAGGCTTATGAGACACTGTTAATCTAGAGGGTCAAAATATACATCATAGAAAGATTTTTATAAAACCATATAAATACATAACCTTAGGCAAAAATATCTTAAATCTCTCTTCATGTAAATATAGCATGAAATTCAGTCATATATTTCACTAACATGGTACTGACTAGTCGATTTGAACCACTGCTTCACGGTTCACTGACTGCCGTGGATGCATATTATCAAGGGTACAGCTTCATTAAGCCTTATGCAACCAACCATAAAATGTGCTGTTTTAAGCGGTCTGTCTTTTGGGAGGTCTATCTGGTGTCAGTCCGATCTGTCGACAAATGAAAATTAGGATGTCCCTAACTATCGACAAAACAAAAAAACCGGAATGTCGACATCGCGTGGTCAACATACCGTGACGGTGTTAATTAATGAAAGAGAATGTTTGCTGGTTGCAAGTCGAGCTATGCTCGTATCTTGAGTAAAATGAATTAAGTAGATTAAAGAGAATGTCGAACAATTTGCAAGAGAATTAAGGTTGCAAAAACAGATTATTATTTTACGTTACGAGTGGAAGGATTACCATTTTGGAGTTTAACATGCAACAACATGAGAAACGGAGAGCTTACAAATTAGTTTGAGATATTGGGAGTAGAAGGATGATCGAAATGCTTTTGTAAACATTTCGCATGTGTGGGTATATATAATAGATCATGAATATTTTGTTACCACTGTCAAAATGGCAAATGCTATAGGTTACATTGATTGACAACATTCATAGAGGTTAGAATCTTAACCACAATGGATTCAAGTACAGAGTCAACAGAAGCAGAGGTCAGAAAACATACTGGAGATGTACAGAGGCAACCTGTCCATCATATCTGGTTACAGAAAACAACCTGCTGAATATGGTCGGTCAAGGTCACAACCATCCTGCTATTCCGTTTCTTACTGAAGTTGATGCGTTCAAGTCAAAGCTCCATCATCGTGCAAAGACTGACAACGCTACGCCTATACCCCAGACGTCGCTACCGAATCATCGACGCTAGGATTCAATCCTTGAAGGCCGACCTTCTTGCCGACAGACTTACCGACTTGAATTACACAGACCATGTGTCAGAGTTGCTTCATCTTGGCTGAACATTCAGATTACTTTAGTGCACATATAAACGACTTTTGGCAAGAAGAAATAACTGGACTCATCTTTTATATATTTATTACTTATACACCTGCAGAAATTACTTATTTATATAAAACACACACACAAATATATTGTGTGAGCTTTATGAAATATATATACAAATATGCTATATTATGTGACATATGATACATGCATGTTGTTATATTGACTGAATAATATATTGTCTACTATATATATCACACTCTGTTTTAATTGGTTTGTTAATTTCGAGAACACTGGGAGTGAAGTCACTCATGTAGAACATCACCTCCCTTTTCCCGGACTGTCGACAAGTATTTTGGACGGATTATTTCTTGTTGTCGACAGTCCGGGCATAAACCGGTCTATCTTATGGGAAGATACCGTTTTTTTCCATGGGGCGGGATATAAATGATTTATTCTGCCTGATGATTTGTACAACACCACCCAAGCAGTGCACAACCGTGCACCCGGCATACATTGTAATTTGTTCGGTTGTAGAAAAAAAGTCATGGAAAAAAGTCATAGATTGGGTAGGAATAAAGTCATAGGAAAAAAGTCATAAACTCAAAAAAGGTCAGGATTGTAACAAGTCATAACAATATTATCATCAACAGCACTACCACATTTGAACCTAACTTATAAAATTAATGTAATCATTCAAGTAAAATACATGACATCAGAAAATGCACTATCATCATAACACTTTCATCTGCAACAGCACTACATCAGTCAGTTGTCCTAGCACATTTTATTTAACCGAATGTTCCAGCCAATGCCGTGAAGAGTTTGGATCACAGTCTTACGGCCAGCGTGTCTTATATTAGCTGCTAGAAGGAAGCCATTTGAGTAAAAGCATTAACTGATAATCCCATGAGTTCATTAATTGGTGTGATATCGTCAAGCTCAAAGCTAGTTAAACAAACAATCATGTGACTTGTGACTTTTAATCCCACAATCCGTTAAGAACTAAACAAATAATAATCTGTTCATTTCTCCTGTTTTGATAAGATCCAATTGCTTACAGCGTCACACTAAAGGAATAATTAACTTGAAAGTGAAATAGTATAAACAAAGTAAATAACTGGAGAACATGATGTTTTATAATAGTTATTTTTTCTATGACTTTTTTTCCATGACTTTTTTCCGTCCACCATTTGTTCAAGGTCACGTGAATCAATCAGAGATAGACATTATTACATGAGGTAGGGTAAATGTGCATTGTACGTGCTTAGGAACCTTGAACTTGCAGTTACATTTCATTATTTGTGTACAGATATTGGAATAATTTATCGATGTATTGATGCAGGGACTCCATTATGTTCTTGTTGACATTGTTGGTAGCTAGAGGTGTTCCTAATTTTCACAGTTTGGAGTGAGTGAGCGAGTGAGTTTAGTTTTAGGCTGCACTCAACAATATTCCAGTCTGTAATCGAGTCTGGACCAGACGATCCAGTGATCAACAGCATGAGCATCGATCTGAGCAGTTGGATGAGTGAGTTTAGTTTTACGCCACACTCAGCAATATTCCAAATATATGGCAGCGGTCTGTAAATAATCGAGCCTGGACCAGACAATCCAGTGATCAACAGCATGAGCATCGATCAGCGCAATAGGGAACCGATGACATGTGTCAACCAAGCCAGCGAGCCTGACCACCCGATCCCGTTAGTCGCCTCTTACGATAAGCATGGGTTACTGAAGGCCAATTCTAACCCGGACCTTCACGGGTTTCACAGTTTTGTCTTCTTGAGAGGGTACGTAAGTCTCAAAACATTTGAAGTAAATTTAGATATACCAGGTTTATAATAGTAGGATACTTGTGTTTTTAAGTGATGGCTAAATTTGTGCACAATCGCCAACGTATGAAGGGACCATGTAAGTCCTTCTAGGATGGGTGGGGTGAAGGGGTGGTATGGGAGCATTGAGGGGGGGCAAGGCAGTCTGAGCGAGGATGAGAGGTGGGCGCGGACGTCGGAGAGGACAGTCACGCACATATGGTGAATTTGGAGTGACTACATACCTATCCGTGAAACAATTAAGTAATGAAACAATAGGCGAGAGCTTTCAATACAACTGATAGCTCATGACAGGTAATTAATTAATGACAGATGGTCGGATTGGGGTGTGCTGATAGTTATAGCCCGGGAAAGCCACTTTTAAGAAAACAAGAGTTGAAAATGGTGTGGCTCAACCGGAAATGGGTATGGTTGAGTGATCGTGTGAATGTGGGTCTCCCGGCAATGCGCTATTAGCTAATCCATGTTACCGTAAATAATGCAGATTTTTTAATATCGCTCTAAATTAGCCAAATTAAGTCAAAATGAATTGAAATTTGTGTCATGATGTTTATAAACATACGCTCATTCATTTACAACCTTCAAAACATGGAAAAACATGTATTTTGAGTAAGAGTCAATATTCTCGCCCATGGGCCAAAATGTTTTTCGCCCATGGGCGAGATTTTTTAATATCGCCCTATGTTAGTCGAATTAAGTCAAAATGAGTTGAATTTGTTTCATGATACCCATAAGTATACACTCATTCATTTACAACCTCCAAAACATGGAAAAAACATGTATTTTGAGTAAAAGTAAATATTCTCGCCCATGGGCCAACATAATTTTCGCCCATGGGCGAGATTTTTTAATATCGCTCTAATTTAGTCGAATTAAGTCAAAATGAGTTGAAATTTGTGTCATGGTGCTTATAAACATACACTCATTCATTTACAACCTCCAAAACATAAATATTGAGTAAAAGTAAATATTCTCGCCCATGGGCCAAAATGTTTTTCGCCCATGGGCGAGATTTTTAAATATCGCTCTAAATTAGTCGAGGTAAGTTAAAATGAGTTGAAATTTGTGTCATGATGCTTATAAACATACACTCATTCATTTACAACCTCCAAAACATGAATTCTGATCGAAATTAAACATTCTCGCCCATGGGCGAGATTTTTAATATCGCCCATGGGTCGAATTAAGTCAAAATGAGTTGAAATTTGTGTCATGATGCTTATAAACATACACTCATTCATTTACAACCTCAAAACATAAATATTGAGTAAAAGTAAATATTCTCGCCCATGGGCCAAAATGTTTTCGCCCATGGGCGAGAGATTTCGCTCGCTCTAAGTTAGTCGAATTAAGTCAAAATGAGTTGAAATTTGTGTCATGATGCTTATAAACATATACTCATTCATTTACAACCTCCAAAACATGAATTCTGATCGAAATTAAACATTCTCGCCCATGGGCCACTGTTCGCCCATGGGCAGGCCCATGGGCGAGCGAGTTTAAATTTCAAGTTTTCGATAACATTTTTTTCATTTTTTCATCCTTGGCATATATTCATAACAACTGCATGTTTCATTTGGTCAAATCCCTTGTCAGAAAGTGCCCACAGTGCGGAGAGTTTCTGGACTTTTGTGAGTCCAGAATTAAATTGTGACGTGTTCTTAGCATTAGTCTAGAATATACCCACAGGTTGATGCAGGGCTGGCTGTTTGTAAATGGAGCTTTCTGGAAGGACCCCCAAATCAAGGCCCTTCTTCCTGCAGTGCCAAAGGTAAGTATTTAATGATATCACACAAGGAAAGACATTCACCATTTGATAAATGCATGCTAGGGCAGTTTCGAATAGTACAAGATAATGTACATAATTGTTAATGATCTGATAGGAACACCTGAGCGGAGCGATTCCGAGTATTCCAAAAACATTTACGTCTGCAATAGGTCACAACTATGACAAAATGTGGATTGTGTGGTCACAATGGACGATGTTTCATGGTTTGGGTTTCCGTCACTCTCCACATTCATTCATTCATTCATTCATTCATTCATTCATTCAGGGCAAGATGATCATCCTGGATCTGTACTCCGAGCAGAGTCCGATCTTCACCCGCACCGAGTCCTACTACGGTCAACCATTCATTTGGTGCATGCTGCATAATTTTGGCGGACTTAACGAAATGTATGGCGAACTGGACAAGGTGAACGAGGTAAAGCTATGTATTCTTACACGATGATCAACAATAAAGGGCATTAATACACCAGTACCGTGTTCAGAGATGTACATTTTTCATTGGAAACTAATTAAGAGTGATTTTTTATCATAAATAGAATATCACCTTCGTGTCTCCTGATATCAAATATATCAACGCCAGCGTTCGAAATACCTGCCTGCCCGACCGCCCGGGACGGGTTATTTTCTTAAAGAGATTCTTAAATTCACCTGTCCTATGGTCGGGTTAAAATTTAGACATGTATATGAAGTCTTAGATATTTTGTGGGCAGGTAAGTTTTGGTCAGGGCTGGCAGGGGCGTAGCTACCATTATGAAGAAAAGCCCGGGCTTACACATGATTGTTGCTAAAAAGGTCGGGCAAGCCCTCAATACTATCTAGATATAAAGTTTTGCAACCTATCGGGCTTACACGAAAATATTGGCTTGCTACGCGCCTGGCTGGCAAGTTTTATATCTAACCAGCCCTGTGGTCTGGCTGAATTTTTGGGAGTTTCATACCCTGCCAACACTTGTTGATAAAAGTGAAAATATCCTCGGCAAGCCTCGGATGTTTGTAACTTTATCAACTCGTGTTGATATAATTGATATCAGTAGACACTTGGGTGAGATTCTCTATATCCTGCTGTAAATAGTTCCGTGCTTAATGGAGTCAGTGTTACTCCCCTTGCCACGAGCAGGATCAACATCGCCAGCATCTTTAAGCTGTTGTTAACTGTTTCAGGGTCCTTTCAATGGACGTAACTTCCCTAACAGCACCATGGTGGGCACAGGTCTCACCCCAGAGGGTATCAACCAGAACGAGGTCATGTACGAGTTCATGAACGAACAGGCGTGGAGGCCAGGATCTGTTAACACAACCGAGTGGTGAGATGTTCAGTTGGATTAGAATTGTGCCTTGATCGGAACAGCTGAAACATAAAATATAATTAATGGGGGCTTGGTGGGCGAGCTGTTTAAGGCGCCAAACTAGTGATCCAGCGAGTTTGAGGTGCCGGGATCGAGCCCACCTGTGACCGGGTGTAAACACCTTGGAGTCAACATTGTGTGCGGACTCTTTCAGTGTTGTCACAAGCCCTAGTGTACAGTACATAACCCTGTGCACGTAAAAGAACCCACGAATCCGTTGGTTTCTGACCAGCTGGTGGCCACATGAATACGTGCAAACACCTAGTTGCGGGTACAGCAACGTGCAATGTACTGTGTGTCCCAGTCCACACCAGCTGTGAATGGGTACCTCGTAATGATGGGCAGTAACTCGGTGCGCCTAGTATGATTCCTAGGGAGTTGAGATTGATAATACGATGTGTCGTTGAGACTGACATCCAATGATCGAGGGGACAAAATACCAGCGCTTTGAGCATGTACTAGGTGCGTGGATATGTCCGCAATATGAATATCCTATAATAATAATTATTAACTATTCACGTAACGGCAGTTATTTCACAAGGGAATCCGGTTGGGAAGCGACTTCTGCTGGACTACTACAAAGTGCAGTGTTGATCAATAACAATCTAACTTGTGATACCACCAGGGTAATTCTGTTTTCTTCTCTAACATTTTTCTAGGATAGATCTGTATCAAGCACAGCGATACGGGGGAGGCGACCCGAAAACCTCCGACCTTGGGCTTATCTCAGGGTAGGTGTCGTGCTAGAATACATAGCTCACAGTCCCTCTGAACTACATTATGTCCCCTCCTCCCAATTCTTTCTGCAAAGAAGCCTAGCTAAATGAAGCAAGATTTCCCCAGGGTTCAGATGTTCTGAATCTCCCGTGTGGCTCATTTGTTTCTATCACAATAATATATTCAGAGGCTAGGGGTTAGTTTACAGTTTCAATTGAAGAATCCAGAACAAAATTTGTTCCCTAAAGTAGGGAATGTTCATATGACACAAGAGAACCCGAAGTTATGCTCCTCTCGGACGTTTGCCAGTTTGGAAAAATGAGCGACTGTGGTTTTACGCCACTTTTAACAATATTCCAACAATATCACGTCAGGGAATGCCAACAATCTTCTTCACACATTGTACCCATTTGAGGAATCGATCCCGGTCCTCAGTTTGGAGAAGCCCATGAGGAAGGGTCTGATGGTAACAAACCTTGAAACAATCGTAACCAATCGCCCCTTTCCTTATCCTCGGTATTCCGCTGGTCCCGGAATAACACGATTGGGTCACAAATGACTTTGAAACATATTCGAGGCAAACAAGTATATCAGGTAACAGTCTTAGGTTTCTGTCATGCAGTTTGGACAATATTATGAGTGAGTGAGTTTAGCTTTACATCGCTTTTAGCAATATCACAGCAATATTCCAGCAATATCACAGCAATATTCCAGCAATATCACAGCAATATCAAAGCAACATTCCAGCAATATCACAGCAATATTCCAGCAATATCACAGCGGGGCACACCATGCAGAAGTGGACTTCATACATTGTGCCCATGTGGTCAATCGAACTCGGGTCTTCGGCGTGGCGATCAAACGCTTTAACCACTAGGCTAAACCTTCCCCGGGCAATACTATGAACATGAAAGTGCGTATCTATGATTTTACGCACTTTTCAACAATATTCAAGCGTAATTACAAAGGGGACACCAAACATGAGGAACATTTAACATCGTATTCAACAAGTGCCTGTAATGAACATTCTGTTTTCCTTTAGCAAAGCGTCTACTCTGTCCACGTATCTCCACTATCCACGTATCTCCACTATTCACGTATCTGCACTATCCACGCATCTCCACTATCCACGCATCTCCGTTATCCTTCGTCTCTTCAGACCGCCTCCGTGGTGTAGTGGTTAGAGCGTCCGCCCGGAGAGCGGAAGGTCGCGGGTTCGATCCCCGACCGCGTCATACCAAAAGACGTTAAAATATGGTACTTGTTGGTTCCTGCCTGGCGCTCGGCATTAATGGGTACAGCAAGGACTGGTCGGCTCGGAGTCAGTATAATGTGTCTGAGTGGGGTATTCATGCTTCACTGCGGCATGGTTTCTAAGTGGGCTAGCACTATAAAACCAGCCTAAGTCTGGGCTAGGACAAGCAGCCGCACATACACATACACACGCATGCACGTCGTCATATGAGCGAAATATTCTCAAGTACGACGTTAAACCCAATTTCACCTCACCTCCACTTCGTATCTTCACTATTCCCGTATTTCCATTATCGACGTATGTCCACTTTCCTGGTATCTCCACTATCCACATATCTGCACTATCCACGCATCTCCACTATCCACGTACCTGCACAATCCACGTATCTCCACTATCCACGTACCTGCACTATCCACGTATCTCCACTATCCACGTACCTACACTAACCACGCAACTCCACTATCCACGTATCTGCACTATCCACGTATCTCAACTATCCATGTATCTCCACTATCCATGCATCTGCACTATCCACTATCCTTCGTATCTTCACTCTTCCCGTATCTCCATTATCCACTATCCACGTACCTGCACTATTCACGTATCTCCACTATCTACGTATCTGCACTATCCACGCATCTCCACTATCCACTATCCATGCATCTGCACTAACCACGCATCTCCACTATCCACGTATCTCCACTATCCATGCATCTGCACTATCCACGTATCCCCACTATTCCCGTATCTCCACTATCCACGTATCTTCACTTTCCACGTATCTTCACTAGCCAGGTATCTTCACTATCCTCTGTTGTACCACAAACACCAAGCTGAGCACATAACGAAACGCAGTGTCTTAAACATCGTTCCTCTACTGACCTGAAATGTGTAGGTTCAAAGGGGGCTGGGACCGCTTTCTCCCATTAAGGTTAATGTTAAACGTTAGGGTATATTTTCTTCTATGTTTTGATTATTTTTATGTTTCAGTCAAATAAAAACAAAATTCGCATTATATATCGATGTATATTTACATATATGACATATCTGATTGTCCCTGGCAAAAGTGGAGTAGTATAAATCCTTCATTGTTGACGTCGTGTAGATGGGCTATGATCCCGAGATGTTGTTCAAGGCGTGGGACAATATGGTGGCCGCCACGTTTACAACGCCGGCGCTCCATGCACAAACTCTGTTCAGGTGAGTGCCATCCGAATGTGCGGGTAAGAGTTAGAAGAAGATCCCTGCAACGCATGCTGATGGTAAAAGCGACTAAATGGTTCGGAAGCAGTTTGGTGGCTTGTTTGAAGCGTACTACGTTGAGAATCGTTGCTGATGATCACTGGATTGTCGGGTCCAGGCTTGATTATTACCAGGGACCGTCATATCCTTAAGCGTGGCGTTCAACAACAAACAAAACATGATTCAGCCCTAAGCAACAACACATGAACACATGGATGTTTTTCAGGTACGACCTGGTTGACGTGTCCAGGAACAGCTTGCAGGTGCTCGCCATCAAATACTACTCTGATGTCATCGCAGCCTACAACAAGAGCGACACAGCCAGTCTCAGGTAGGACAGACCCGAGTTCGATTCCCAAATGGGTACAATGCGTGAAGCCCATTTCTGGTGTCCCCGTATTGTTGGAATATTGTTAAAAGCGGCGTAAAACTAATACTCACTCACTGATTCAGGTAGGGCAAGGCTGTATACAGATATGTCCAAGCATAGGTGGGTATCAATAACTGCTAGAAAGAATTTGTTGTGAAGCATTCGTCCATTCTACTGGACTATTGTACCAGTCCCATTTGCTTAAATAACTGATTCACTGTAAAAAGGGACTTATAAACTTCGTCGATTAACTCTAATGCCACTTACCTCAGGACTCTTCGTCTTTGAGAGGTTTCCTATCTCCATACACGACGTTACGTCATTTACTGCCAATGTGACATTTTCAATCACTTAAACTCGATGACACTAACTTGTATTCCAAGTACTCATAGATTGAAATATTTCTGCGTGTGATCAGAAATCAGTCAAAAGAACACGTAAATCAGGATACAAGCTACATAAGAAAATATATAATGTGGATAGATCTGCTGGCGTCAAGATGATCGACCTTCTGAGTGACCTTGACACACTCCTGGCTACCGACGTTCACTTCCTGCTGGGCACGTGGACCAGTGACGCGGCAAGACACTTCTCCACACCCCAGGAGAAGGCCTTGTATGACTACAACTCGAGGAACCAGGTCACCCTGTGGGGGCCGTCTGGACAGGTTTGTTTGTTTGTTAATTACTGCTCTGCAAGTCTGCACCAGACAATCCAGATTAGGCATCATGTCATAAGCATCTGTATCTACACAACGAAGTGACTGTGACATCCATCGATCAAATAAGCGAGCCTGACCAACCGATCCCGTTAGTCGCCTCCTACGGCAAGCATGACTACGGTTGACTGCCATGAAGACATAGAGGTCGCGTCGTAATGAGGTGAAATGTGGTTTAACGTCACGTCCAAGATTATTGCAGTTATATAACGACGTGTGAATATGTGTATGTCTACTCATACCAATTATACGGACCTATGACGGTGTTAAAGTGTGTAGGTGTAATTTATTCTGAAATTGAAGATTTGGGGACCTGAGATCCCATGCTCGCAAAGACACAGTCACCTCCGAGTCTATCGTTCTTTTTTTTACACCTTTCTGTCGGGCGCCAGACAGCGTAACAACAAGTACTATCTTTTAACGTCTTTTAACGTCCTGACGCAGTCTAGAAATCGTACCATAGATCTTCTTCTCTCCGGAAGACGCTCTGTCAGATCGACCACGGAGGCGGTCCCGATATCGCACAGCAATTTTCTTGCCAATCCATATCACACTGTCCCTTGTTTCAAACCCTTAATACCGGGGGCAATGCAGAGTAACAAGTACTAGCTTCAGGCAAGGAAATCCCTCTCTCCGAGAGAAGCTCTGTCATCTACACAACAGAGACAGTACCGATATCGCACAGCAATTGTCTCCCCAATCCATATCACACCTGTGTTGAAGGTTTGCCCAGTGGTTTAAGGAGCCGCAATCCGACAGTTGCGGCCCTTACCCGTGGCAGGATCTACTGTTTCCTTGTTACGCCTATGCTATTTGCAATCTATTAGTGTCAAAAGTATGTAGATTAAGGTGTGAAATATTGTATATTGTTTGATACTTTTTCAAAGGCAATTTGATTTTCAAAACAAATATGATAACACGTACATTGTTAGTGATTTTGCTCTTTTTCAGATCATGGATTATGCTTGTAAGATTTGGTCTGGGCTGATTAACAGGTGAGATAGAATGCACTTTGTCGGATGTTCTACTTAAACTAGATTTGAAGCATAAAGTTGTGGTGGAAAGTATTTGATAATGATTGTTAATGGTTTGTTCGTGTGGTTTCAGATACTACAAACCAAGGTGGCAGCTGTTTATAAACACTTTAATCAACTGTACGGAAACCGTAAGTTTGACGGGACCTGGTTGATAACAAATATATATGTTATCCTTCATATTCCTCTTTTCACTCTCGATTATCCAGTGTGTTATATGTACTTAGTCATCATATAACAGTATATATATCCTGGACCCGTCCGCCATCACAGGTGACGTGATCAACATCGTAGTATAACAAATTTAGCACATTGATGAGCCTTGCGTCAACAACATGCCCAAATGTCTCTCTTGGCGAAAGTTTTGAATAGATCTAGATTTCAATTCGCTGCCTTCCTGCGAGTGAGGGATGGATATATCTTAGAATCCTAAGACTTTCAGCTGCGAAAAATGTTTTATTTAGTGCAGACACTCCTTGAGTTACAAGACCTTCAGTTCGAGTAAGGCACAGTTGGTCAAAAGCGCCTAAAGCGCCGAGCACAGTTGCGTTACTAGGGCACTCCAGAAACATACGCTCGTAGTTTCGAATCCCTGTTCGCCCCGATTATGTTATAGGTTTGTCTGCACCATACTCGTCCTCGTAGACCCGTGAAGGTCCGGGTTAGAACTGATCTTCAGTAACCCATGCTTGTCGTAAAAGGCTACTAAAGGGATCGGGTGGTCAAGCTCGCTGACTTGGTTGACACATGTCATCGTATCCCAATTGCGTAGATCGATACACATGCTGTTGGTCACTGTATTGTCTGGCCCATAGCTGGAATATTGCCGAGTGCGGTGTTAAAAAACAAACCAACCCACCAACCGTGCCCGTAGGTTTTAGCAATACGGTAAACGTGTGAGACCTGCGTCACTGCTGGTATATTGCCCTAGAGTTGTCGACGCATCACTGCATATCGTTATGGAGAGTTTCACATCATATCGATGACATTTCCTATATTAAAAGTTTGTGATATATATTTACATTAGTAAACAGCGAATATATTGCAGAAAACATCGTTCGACAGTGGCGTGTACGGTCAGGAAGTGTTTGACACGGTGGAAATACCATTTTCCTACGACCAAACCGACTTCCCTAACGAACCTGAAGGTAGGATATAATCCATCAGCTCAACCGCCGCGACTGAATACATGCAATGCACGTCCTGCTGGACTCTTATGGGGCGACATAACGGAGTGAGTGAGTGAGTTATATTTTACGCCGCTTTTAGCAATATTCCAGCAATATCACGGTTGTTGACACCAGAAATGGACTTCACACATTGTACCCATGTGGGGAATCGAGCCCGGGTCTTCGGTGTGACGAACAAATGCTTGTGAACCGACGCAGCGGGGATTAGATGGTGGACATCTATACAGCTGGCAACAGAACTGGTGACAACCTGTCAGTCCTTGTGTTCATGCTATCTACCATTGGTTTATCTATTTCAGTCAGGTCAAACAAAGCACCTTTCTTTAGCTGTTTTAGTGTTTCTGATTCTTATTTGACGCAAAACTGTATGATTTCAGTATGGGAATAATGGAGTCTTAGGTTTTAGATTTGGTTTCAGATTACTGCACCTACATTGTACATAGAGATCCAGCATACTTTCTTCGAGCCGACGACCGCCTCCGTGGTGTAGTGGTTATAGCGTCTGCCCAGAGAGCGGAAGATCGCGGGTTCGATCCCCGACCGCATCATACCAAAAGACGTCAAATATGGTACTTGTTGGGACTGGTCGGCTCGGAGTCTGAGTGGGGTATTCATGCTTCACTGCGGCATGGTATCTCAGTGGGCTAGCACTATAAAACCAGCTTCAGTCTGGGCTAGTACAAGCAGCCGCACATACACATACACAGGCATGCACGTCGTCATATGAGCGAAATATTCTCCAGCGCGACATTAAACCCAATTTCATCTCACCTCACTTCTCCGAGCCGACCATTCTTTGTCGATTAAAAGACAACAACAAGTACTCTGTCCCACTGGACCACGATTGCGGTCTGACCGAATCGAAATAAGAATTTCAGTGACCACCAATCCACGCAGCTTGCCACGATGACTTGAAATAAACCAAGTAAACAGACTTGACCACCTGATAACATCAGTCGACTACGACATAGGTTGAGCCTGTTGTCTTCCCCTAAATCCCGCTAATTAATAATAGAGTCAGCTGCGTGAGACAGTTCGGTTGTGAAACCAGTGAATTATATATATATATATATCTGACTGGATATCAGTGTGCGAAATAGTTTCCAACTTTTGCTAGCCAGGCGAGCTAGCGATGCCTGAAAGTTACTAGCCCACAAAATTATTCACTGGCCCGAAATTTGAATGTAGACACAGGTTTCACCATTAAGCTGCTTATATGATGAACATTTTTATCAGGCCATAATCTTGCATGATTTAAAAATGTATTATACCTTAAGAAGTTGGAGAGAGTGATATACATGTATTTACAAAATGACCCCATGAAAATTCACTAGCCATTCGGGCCAGTGACTGTGGAGATTTACTGGCCCGACTGGATTTTTACTAGCCACGGGCTAGCGGGCCAGTGGCTATTTCGAACACTGCTGCATACTACAATGCAATAAGCAAACAATCTCGAGCTCAGATTGTTTGTGATCAAGTCTGTAAATTGGTAAGTCTCTGACTAAGAATACCCAAACGACCATATGGCATGGAGGTATGTTACAATAAGGAATCGAGCCCGTTTCTGGCACACTGAATTATTGTCAAAGCCTTCAAATGTTAAAATAGAAAGATACACTTAGTTCGGTGCCTCGTCTACAGCGCATATATGCAAGCACATTTTCGTGAAGGCAATAGGTCAGCTTGTTATTTTGTAGCAAGTATGTCGCCAAAGGATTTGCTTACATTATTATGAAGATGCGTTGTTGCGGGGAATATAGAAACGAGTTCAGTCCGTCTGTGCGTCCGTCACATTTTGTCCGAAGCATATCTCTTAAACTATTCGTGATAGCGTAACCAAACTTGGTACACATATTAAGCATGATCCCTGATGTGCCTTTTGGGGGTTAGACCCAGATGCGAATTTTATTTTTTGTGTTTCCATGGAAACGTGACTTGATCTGTGACTCTATGAAGAAGTTATTTTGTCCGGAGCAAATCTCCCAAACTCTCCATGCTAGCTTTACCACACTTGATGCATGCCTGTTGTAATTTCCTTATAAATACTGTATTATATAGAACAAACTTTATGGATAACAACTTCTTTTTATTCGTGAGTGCGACGTTTCGATACAGATTCTTGTACGGTTGTCAAGCATAATGGAACATGAAGAAGGGGGAAGTGTATATATACTGGATGTAACAATGTAACAAAGAAAACAACATAATTAACATAATTGGTTAGGCAGAAAGCTGATGAAGCCAGAGAGTAGACAAAGGACAGGCGTGGAAGCCAATGATGTACAAATAATAATGAAATGTTTATACAGCAGAGTTTATACAGTAGATTGGGCTTGGTGGATGAGTGCATCATAAGCGGATGGAATGAAGTATCCTTGGTCTCTGTTGATGGTGGGTGTTTTCGGTGAGCTTGCGTTTAGTGAAGTCTGTTTGTTTGTTGGAGAGAATGGTGATGTCAGACCACTCTATTTGATGATTGGGGCTTGTTTTGATGTGGTCGGAAATGGCTGATTTGCTGTCGGAATTGGTAACAGAGGTCTGATGTTCTTTCACTCGGGTGTTGATGGGTCGGGAAGTTTCGCCCATGTAGCTCTGCCCACAATCACAGTGTATTTTGTAGATGACACATTTTGGGTTGTTGTTCTTTACGGTGGCGCGTTTTTTTCCATTGGCATGGAGAATGTTGTTAAGGTTGGAGGACGCGGAGAAGGTGGTATCTATGCCAGCTTGTTGTTTTAGGAGACGGCTGATTTGATGTGACGGTTTGCCAATGTAGGGAATGGATATCTTGATGGGGGCTGAATCTGGTTTGGGTCTTTTGGTAGGAGGTGACAGGGTTGCAGCGATGGTTCTGTTGACTATTTGGGATGGAAAGTGGTGAGAACTGTCAGGAGTCGATTGCGTGAAGTGGGAATTCGACCAAGAAGGCCAGTTGTCGCCCCTGTTTTGAGAGACTTCCATCGGTGCAATCACTTGCGGTGGTGTCGTAGAGTCCGGAAGTGGAACCTTAGAAACTGGAGGCGAGTCTGGTTCAGTGATGAATGACGATTTTTCTTCACCTGCGAGATGGAAGACAGCGTGTTTACCGTCGGTGTAATGAACGTTTTGCCCCTAATTTCATTCGACAGGTCGACAGATTCGGCGGAAGCAATGGCATGCGGTGGGATGAGCACATAAATATCTGATTTAGTGGTGGTTCGGGGGAATTTGACAGCAAATCGGTACATCAACGAAGTCCTTGCACTTCAAATGCTTCCGATTATGGACCGACAGAGTTAGTTATTCCAACATGACAACGGTACTTCACATACAGCACGCGTCACGGTCCGCTACCTTGCCAATTCTAACGTCAATGTCTTGCCATGGCATTCCCAATCACCAGATCTAAACCCGATAGAACATCTATGAACTCAATAGACGTGTACGTCAACGTCGAAACACGCCCCAGACACTTCAACTACCAGAAGAATTCCCCAAAAGCGACTCCGTCGACTTATCCAGTCGGTGCCGAGACGGTGCCGAGCAGTAATTGCTGCCAATGGTAGCCATACAAAGTACTGACTTTGACGCCATCTTGTGGACTCAATAATAAAGGCTGCTGTTGTGTTGGCGAACTCTTTGTATGAAGACGTGTGAATTTTCACCTTTTTACCGTGTGACTATTAATAAACCTTCTAGCGCCTCACAGGCAACTTAGGGTAATAATTATCAGATTGCATATAGCGCTATATGAGCAAGTGAATGGAGTTTAGCGCATTATAAATGCACTTATTATCATTATTACTATTATGAAATAATTGCAGTTAAACTAACGCAATAAATTCTTCTAAAAGTGGCTTGTGTGATATTTTTTTTTGAAGAGTGTAACACCGAAAGTTTCAAAACTTGTAAAGCAGCAATTGCTACAACGGTTTAAATGTACTTAATGTTCTAGCAAGCTTTTTATATCAGTTTCACAGCAATGTTTCTTGACACGTTCCGGAGCAGCTATAAGCCACGTGCAACAAAATAGAGGCGACAACACTCTATCTAGTCCCAAAATATTCAAAGTAAATTTAAACTTACTACTATTTTTAATCGTAGTATAAATATTATTTTAACTGCGGCTGGCATTTCGCAGAAAATGGACTCAAGTGCCTATGGCCTTTATCAACCGGCTAATTCATTCCATGTACAGACGATGCAAAGTCGTGACCGATGCCCATGTGGGCCAAACATGATACTGGCTTTGAGGTATCCTAATGGAACCATTTTTGGTGATTTTGTTTTTGTTATTGTGATTCCCAAGGGGCGGTGGTTTAGCCTAATGGTTAAAGCGTTGGCTCGTCACGCCGAAGACCCGGGTTCGAATCCCCACATGGGCACAATGTGTGAAGCCCATTTCTGGTGTCCCCCGCCGTGATAATGCTGGAATATTGCTAAAAGCGGCGTAAAACCAAGCTCAGTCAGTCCGTCAGTAGTGTTTGTGTTTGTGCAAACTTCTTCAAAAGTCACTATGTACAAAAATACCTCGATGGTCCGCTTGGACAATAGTTGCAGCTAACTCTTTAATATACATTAAAAACAAAATTTGTGACAACATTCACCCTTGTCTAACACCTCGAGAAGATGAAAACATTTCTGTAAACTGACATGGTGTACATCTCACACATGCTTTCACATTACAATAAATACTTTCTAACAATTTATATAATTGACCATGAATTCCTTTTCTAAGTACATGTAACTGAAAGAGAAGCTTGCTTCTATCGACATAATCAAAAGCCTTTATGAAGTGTATTAAAATACAATACAGTTTCCCTTGTTTTTTTCTAAGATACTTATAAGCTAATGTATTTAAAATAAACATGTTGTCAACAGTGGAATACCCATCTCAGCTTGTGCTTCCGACACTGCAGAGTGTAGTTCTAGCCAAAATTTTAATCTTGTATTATTGATTGAGGTAAACACTTTGCCTAACATATCAAGCAAGGTAATCCCTTTATAATTATCCGGGTCTTCTTTACTGCCATGTTTAAATAATGGTATAATTACGCCTTCATTCCAAACATCAGGGAACTGACCTGTTGTGAGAATGTTCTTAAACAACACCACCAAATATGGAGATAGAATGTTAACAACAGCTTTTATCGCCTCGGCTGGGATGCCATCCAGCCCAGGAGATTTCCAATTCTTTAAATCTTTAATAGATCTTTTTATTTCCTCTTCAGTTATCGACTTCAGAATATCGTCACTTTCTGCACAATCCTCAAAAACCAATGCATTATGGTCTGCTAAATAATCTTGTACATGTTTGTTAAAAGAGTTCCCTAAGTCAACGTCAGGATTTAACAGAGTTTTGAAGTAACTGTACCAATTATCTGCAGATATGACACAGTCGGTCGATTTTTTCCCACTCCATAAAGATTTCAACAGTCTCGAAAACACTTTACAGTCTTTGTTTTTAGCAGCCTCCATTACGTCATTTACCACTTTGCGATCATATTCTTTCTTCTTTTGTTTACAAATTGCCTGAAAATAATGTTTACTTTCAATGTACTTCTTGCAATCGTCAACACAATCAGATTTTCTAATAATATTTAAGAGTTTATATTATATTTATATGAACACAATCAGATTTTCTAATAATATTTAAGAGTTTATATTATATTTATATGGTTCCAGTCAACAGTGCTTAGCCAAGCTACAACGAATTCAGAATTCGGCAGCCAGACTTATTTGTGGAACTAACAAGCATGAACATATCACACCAATCTTGCAACAACTTCACTGGATTCTAGTGCAGTACAGCATTGAGTACAAGCTTCTCATGTTTGTGTTCAAAGCCATACATCATCAAGCTCCATCATATCTTGAGGACCTTATCCACAAGTATGAACCAGCCAGATCGTTGAGGTCTTCAGCAACACTTCAACTGACAGTTCCGAGGACGCGGACAGTTCAATTTGGTGACAGAAGTTTCATCAAGGCGGGTCCCACTCTGTGGAATAAGCTTCCGCAGAACTTTCAGACAATCACAGATTTTGAGACATTTAAGCGAGAGATTAAGACCCCTTTATTCCAACGAGCCTATGGCCTGCGCCTCTGAGCAGTTATTGGATTCAGGCGCATTACAAATGTGAATTTTATTATTGTTATTTGTCCTGCTTCAGATGGCGACATTCCTGGTCGAACCACTTTGGCTGAACTGAGCGACTACGATCATGTTTATTAAAGTCTATCTTACGTTTAAAGTCTAAGTCACTGAAACAAGAAACAAATTTGGTTGACTATCCCGATAAACACATGTTTCTTGCGGGTGATCTAATTGCTTGAATGAAAGATTTTCTAGATTTAATCCCAGAGGACACTACTGGCTTCATTGGTAAGGGATATTTTGACCTGCCAGGAACATGCAGAGATAACTTTGTCCGCAGTGAGTATGGCAAGAAATTTCCTGAACAATGTCTATGTTATAGACTCCTGTTCACTCATATCTGAAACTTTACTATTAGTATTTTATAATAACGGCTATTTATAAAGTGCCTGTTTCCACGAACTTGTGCATGCTCAAAGCGTTATTGCATTATAACCCCGGATAACCCAAGCTGCTTCTGTGGCGCTAGAAGGTTAACAGTCATATGACTTATCTCACCGGGTACCCATTTACTGCTGGGTGAACAGCGGCAATTCATAAACAACTCACGAAGGGGAATCTAGGCAATTCATTATATCAATGATTCGCGAATTTCACTGCATGTCCAACAATTGATTAAGAAAAAGCACATGTGTGCATACATAATGTCATGCATATAGCTTGGCATGATCAGTCGATTGATTGGATCTGGCTCATCCTACCAGTCTTCCAGGTTGGGGAAGAGCTTTCAGTGTAACCCAGCACTCTGCACTCTACAGGTATTAAGTGAGGCAATTGACCTGAAATATACCTTGGTGTAGTTATTCCCCTATACCGCTGCATATACGCAAACAGGACACAGTGTTTTTTTCTAAATATATGTCGACCATCCCCATCTTTCCATGAAACACTGAATATTGTTTGTTAATTTATAGTTGCAGCTGTCTTTCGATCGTATGCATGTTCTTACTACGTCAGGAATTATTGAAATCATCCAGAAAAAGCGATCCATCAAAACCTCAGTGGCCCTATGAACGCTCATTCTAAGACGTTGGGCAGATAGAATGCTGCCTTGAGAGACTCCCTGATCTCTTGACTGAAATGGTTTCCTGTTTGAGACAAAATCCTAAAAGTATCAGCACTCCTGATTCTTTAGGGTTTCGGGAGATGATCGTAAACTGACAAAAACAAGTTCAAACTATACTGATGAGCAAAAGAAACTTTCTCTTGCAAATGTTTACTGCAGGCTTGACGTCACAAGCAACAAAAGCCAGGTCGTCTCACTCAGGATCCATGAGCTTCCTATATCAATGTCATAGCAAGGTTACTTGACACGCTCTCTCCAACACATACACACGTCTGCCACAACTAATTTGACGATCGTGTATAATCTGTAGCCGGCTGGGGATACATATTATACGTGCAGGCCAGGCCAAATGTTTTGCATGCATAATATTTTCTAATATTCACGTTTGTAAAATGCACTTGTTTGATAAGTAAATACTCTTCGAATAAAAGGAAACGCACAGGCCAAAAATAAGGAAATGTATTATACGTATTTACTTTTGTACGTAAGTCGATTAAGCTTGAACATGGATGAAGAAAATTCGACACACGGATGAACATATGGATATGTCATTGTCAGCAATCACTCACTGCAAATGTGTGGACACAAGGGGGCGTTCAGGTCAGTACCTGGTGACACCACCGCTTGCAGCCACCACTGCTCGACACCGCCTTGGAATGCATTGCACAAGTCGTCGGATGTTTGCTCATGGAATTATTAGCCATTCCGCTCACAACGTGTTGGCAGGTTCTGCAGTGTTTGGGGACGATGGTGACGCTCGTCCCATAGATGCACGATCGGTTTCAGATCAGGCGATTGGGAAAGCCAGGGAAGGACATTAACGTTTGCATTGGCATGCCATACACCTGTTACACGAGCTGTGTGGGGTCGAGCGTTGTCTTGTTGAAAAGTGGGAGGAGGTGAGGCCATAGGATTTGGTTGACATACGCTCTCTCTCAATAGCGGGGTGCAAATGGCTCACAAAAATATTGAAAATTAAATTAAGTTGTATTTGAGTGAAATCATTTATTTTGCCAAGGTAACATATTGGGCTGCTTAAAACCATCGGGAGTTCAACAAGAATTTAAAAGCTTTTGAAAATATAACAAGCTAACGAGATAGGTACACTCTTATGTGGTAACACTGATATGTTCGTTATAACAAGAGATAACCCCCTTAGCCGATAAAAACATGTACACGCACCTAGAAAGCAGTCATTGCGCTCATTAGCAAGCCTGGGAATACATGTTTCTTGAACATTGTAACTGTGTTCTTGCCATGTAGTGTCGTGAAAATATACTTTATGATTGAACATGCACTAATGCTGTGGCACTGTCTGAAACAGAACTAGTGACGTTGTGCAATTTGTATTGTAATTGTAACGGGTAGAAGGGTTTGTTGTTTCATAATCATACAATCCTTTCAAAATGACCCGGATAACCTTTGCTATAAATACAGCTCTCAAAAACTGACACCGACTCTCCTATTTGCATTCACCCTATCGCCAATCATTCGCTGAGACGTGAATAGTTGCGTTCCAGAACAACATCACATCTAATACATCACATGAACGTATAGGAATTACGTCTGTGATATAACAGGCCTACATACCTTCAATATTAGTGATATATTGTGTGTAGGAAAAAAATATTATCTGCGCCCTTCTCTTAATACAGACACAGGTTACGCAGGCTTGTTGCTTGTCTTTCAAGGAATAACATATCACGATCTCATTGACAGTTCCTCAGAAAAAGATGTGGACTGAAACGTCCAGATTAATCACAAAATAAAACATTGACTAAGCATACATATATTAAATCCATTTGGAATTAGTCGAAGTTGATAATATACTTGTCACATGGGTTGATTATGAAGACGTCACATGCATATCCATAACTATAATGATTGCAATTAGTTCCTGTCGAGATACACGTATACAACCTTAGGGGTTAACATGGGGTTTAGGGGTTCAGAATGGCTCACGACAGAAGCTCTAACATGACAAATCTCAAAACATATCTGGGTCTTAAACAGGGACAATGCGACTTTCAATGTCTAGGATTGAACTGCAGCTTGTATGGAGGTGGTTGTAAGATAAATTTAGTCTCGTATGTGTTTGGGTCGGATGAAGGGAAAGACTCCGACGGATCACGAGCTAGATCGCATTTGTGCAGGATCGACGTCAGTCCAAGAAATATCCTAACTCGGGCCAGCTTCTCACCGATACAAGAACGCTTTCCGACACCAAACGTCAACAGCCTGCAAAGTAATACAAATTATGTGCATTTTTATACTGCCTACAAAATGTAATGATTTGAATGTACTTGTGATTGAGGTATATATTTATAGTCCCATGCCGTTGTATCCGAACGAAACATCTAATCACAATGAACATTTATATCATGTATGAACAGCACGTGATACACGCATCAGTCAATGTGTGCGCTTTAAGGGGTATTCATAATCGTAATGCAACCGAACTGAACAAACGCTTGAGCCTGTCTCAAAGATAGTCTCCCCATGACCAGACAAAATAGCAAAGTGTGGGTACAATTTGTTTTTGAGGTATCCCAAGTTGTCCGAATAATTGCAAATTAAACAGTGTAATTTCTCGATGGTAGCCTGTATAATGACATCTCTACAATACGAGTAATATATATTATGCCACCGATGACAATGCCTGAACACATCGTGCCAAGGGTGTCACCGATTCTGTTCGACGGGAAGCTCCCAATAAATCTTCTGACACATCTTCAATACTGCATTTCTCGGAGGAAAAGAATGTACGCCAGATACACCAACACCGACTAGCAGGTATGGCATGATGAAGCTTTTTAGGAGGCAAAACCAAGGATAACCAAACGCAAGGTATTCAACAGCTATGAAATATATTTAAGTTTTATTTCACAAGTATGTATTCAACGTATTGGACCTGTTTGTGTATAAGCTTTCATTTTCCCCCAGCTGAAAATCCCAAATAGGGTTATATGCAGGCTGACTTATGCAAATTTACCTCTGACGCTTTTCATTCTCCGGTGGCAGAAGGTCGCCATTATCGTCCAAGAATCTGGTTGGATCAAACGTGAAGGGATTCTCCCAAAATGATTCGTCGTGGTGTACACGCCATACATTGTAAATAACCTTCATAAAAGAAAGATTCTAGTCATTGTTAACCATGCATTATGTCCTAATGTCAGAGAATACAAGTGTACTACAAAACCCTTGGATACCGTTATGACGACAGATAACTTTTCAATGAATCTGTTCTGTTAATAAAGTGAGGGATGTTCAATATACAGTTGTTACATCTATTGTTATTCTATATCTTCAATAAGATAAATAGTTCTACAGTGTAACAAGGATGTCAGATTTGCCTTAGTCGTTGAAAGTCAGATAGATTTCGTTAGATGATTGGCCCACTATCCTTCATGTCCTTTACCATGGAAAGTGATACTCATGAATCGGCCTCTGTCCTACATAGACATTCACAGACTTGACAAGACATTTTCTAATCAAACGTCCAATATCATTTGGGTTTAATTTTATTTCATTGTTTTCCTAGTAAACTGAGTACAGAGGCAGAGAATACATAAACTGGACAGAGTGAGTGAATTCAAATTTAACGTCACCTCGGCCATTTAGTGACGAGAAAGATTTTCCATACACAATAAATATACGTTGTTAAATAACCAGTCATCGAAGGACTGTAAAATAACTAGAGTATCACAGATGGTGTTTGAAACTAGCATGTAAATCACGTAAGGTCACCAGCAACTGAAGGAAGGTCACCATACTAGGGTCCATGGGGACTAAGAGTGTTTTTGCTACCTGCATGGACTCAGCTGGATTTACAACATCCCTTCAGCAGCTGGCGATTGTAGGAAAATTCTAAATAACAAAAATACTACTTTTAAAAATCTGGTAAGTTCAAATTTGACTTTGAAAGTTTTGGGACCCTCTCATAGGTGCATAAAATGGAACCCATATACTATCACATGGGATATATTTAGTGGTCGAAATGGTGTTTAGTTGAAAAATTTCGTAATATATCATTCCTGTACCCATTACCTCCTAAATAGCTGCAATACCTATGAATCTGTAAAATTGGTTGTTGCGTGATCATCCATCTATGTACTATTAGAATAGATTCAAGTGTACAATGTAGAAATAACTGGCAATGACTTCGAACAATAATTTTGAGGGGAACAACCTAGAATGGTGGATGGAGTCAAAGGAATTGTTTCAGTAGGCACAGATTCAGTTGATCCAGCATTACTTATATTTGAACTGTGTACAGAGCAGTTGCATGAACCACAAGGGACAGTATTTGGTACAGAAGGTGGTTTCAGTATACTTGTAGGAACGTCTGCCGGTGTCTTGTTTACTGATGGAGAAACATTGCTTGACAATTCTAGCAGCAAAAGACACTTTCTTTTTTACTCTGAATCTTTTTGACACGTTCAGGAATATATGGTGTTGGTAATGTAAACAAAAAAAGAAGTGATAATGTTTTCACCTTGATAGGCAGTAAACTCTTAAGCTCTGTAGCTACTTCGAATACGTACCCTTGTGCCCTTGGGGATGCTGTAACCTGTATAGCTGCAGTCTCGGGTAGTGTCCAGCTGCACCGACAGGAGTGTAATAGCGATATATTTCTAATTCCACAGCCTTACTGTAGGGCATTTTGTTCCGGTCCTCAAAACCAGGAAGTCGGTCCTTTCCAACCACTCTCTGGATCTCCTCCTCGATCTTCTTCTGGACCTCAGGGAAGTTTACCATTGCAGCTAGGGCATTGTACATGGTTGGTTTTGTTGTGATAACACCTATCCACATAATAGAAAATCGTGATTTAGTTTGGGACCTGGCATCTGTGAAGTGATTATTATTTACATTTTCTTGGGAAAATTACAAAACTATGTCTGTACAGACAGAGATGTGTGACTCAGAAGGTCGTCATACTACATAGTTTATTTTTACAGTATTACCTGCAAGCACCGAATCCACCAGAACACCTTTTATATTTTCCGTTGATATCAATCCCTCCGCATGCTCTTGTAAAAGCAAAGTGTAGAGACAGTTGGGCGTCGTATCCTTGGATTCCTTCAAAATTATATTCAATCTGTTACACCACATTTGCAATCAGGGTTGCCTGCTTTCCTTATTATACTACAATATTCGTGACATTTGTTTAAAGTACATGCAGTACCATTAGTTCTACAGCGTCATTCAGACGTGTTTAACTTAACATTAATTCGACATTTCTAAGTATTAGTTTGTATACATTACCTGTATTATTTTGTCAACAGTTTCGGTAAAATAGTGGTAACCATCCTTCATGGACTGACAAGCGTTTCTGATTTGCGGTATCAGCGTCACACTCAACGGGACATTGTCAATGAGAAACTGGTTCTTCTGGAGTAAAAGGACATCAAAGGCATCTGAAATTTTCTGACAAATCTCCAGTGTCTTATGGCCAGGTTGAAATCTTTGCCCACAAACCTGAAATGAAATATACTAGCTGTGAATTGACACACGTGAGTGTGTGAGTGAGTGAGTGAGTATTTAGAGTCACATCGGCAATATTTCAGCCATACCGTGACTAAACAGGATATATATGGATAATAAATAAGTTTATTCCTTAAAACCTGTCACATCGGCAGTATTTCAGCGATATCAAGATATATTAATAATAATTATAGGTAAAGTATAAAAGTCCTGTCAACGAAGGACAGTATAAAACTTGCATGCAAATAAAAACATATACTATAATGCAGGACAACACACAAAAAAAATAACGGGCTATAGATCACCAGCAACTGAAGTGAGTGAGTTAATAGTTAACGTCACATCGGCAATATTTCAGCCATATCGTGACGAGAACATTTTACATTGAAATGGAATATGTGTATATTATAAAACCTGTCATCGAAGGACAGAATATCACAATTAGATTTAAAACTAGTGTGGAAGGTTAAAACTAATAGCACTATTAGGACAATACAATATAAACACAGGCTATAGATCGCCAACAACTGAAGGTAGACCACCACACTAGGGATTATAATGATCACACAGGATTTCCTGTCAGTTAAAAACTTGGATATGAACTGAGGCATATGGCCTCGTAATCCAAAATCATGTAAATCGAAATGCACACTGAATATTAGTTATTAAATTATTTGATTCCAAGTACCATGTTAGTCTACCATTGACCATGCGTTTCATGGTGTTGCTTGTTAACGATATTGGTCTGTAAGTCGAAGGATCAGTATGATCCCAACCAGATTTTGGTATTGGAACAACAATTGCTTCACGCCATGATGGTGGAAAGTGCCCAGATGTCCAGATATCATCAAATATGAATAGAAGATTTTCGAAATATGGTTCTGATAAGTGTTTCAGAAGCAGATAGTGGATGTTATCAGAACCTGTAGCAGTATCATGAGCTTGCCAAAGGGCAGCATGGAGCTCATGAACAGTAATTATTTTGTTGTAATCTTACCCATTTTCTGAATTGAAATTAATAGCTTTCTTTTCCTGTTCTTTTTTTAAAATATATTTGGAATTGAGGTACATAATTTTGAAGAGGAATAATGTTTAGCGAAAGTTGCACAAAGTTTGTTAGCAATATCCGATTTATTAGTCAATAATTTGTTGTCGTCTTTGAGATTTAGAATGCTAGATTTAGAATGCCATCGAGTGTCAACAAGGACGAAGTTACAGCGGAAGCCAGGCTGTAACACCTGCCATATTCCAGTAAATAAAGACATGAATAGCTATGATATCCAAAAGAACACGTGCCAGACTGGTTCGGCTCATGACCCATTTCTCAAGAAACACGTACAGAATTCAGGGGTCGATACCACCAGATTGGCCCATGAGCCACCGCCTTATGCCATGGGTCTCTAGGCAAATATTATACTGGCTATAGAATAAGCACAATATTCAGTGTCAACATACAATTTAAGCATAATAATGTCAACATCAACATTTCCATGCTCAGGGCATGGCGTGACCAGCCGATTGATAGAATCTACTTCCCATCTAGGCGAAGTAAGGGTCGAAGTAGTGTGTTGGGCAAACGAAACACGGTTCCAGTCTCCTACTGCCCTCAACCACCAGATTCCCGTCCTCCACCGACATAGGGGCGCAACCTACGGCAAACAGGTTGCCCAAGTCGGTCGCCTATTACGACCAGCATTGGGGTGCTGTGGACCTATTCGACCCGGGTCCACACGGGGGCGAAGAGCTATTAGCGTTACCCAGCACCCACCACGAGGAGGTTGCTCTTTACGGGTACCATATTACTTGGAAAAGACGCATAGATCATACAAATATGAAGTGGACCATGCACAGGGCATGACATGACCAGCCGATTGATAGAACCGGGCCCATGGGCGATAACTCTCCTTTTGAAATGATGTAAGCGACGGTCCAAGTTTTCGCTTCCGGTCTTGTTCCCGTCTCAATGTGCGCTGCGACAACTTTCGACATGTAAAGACTGAGCCAAGCGTACGCGTTGCATGCTGCACCTTCGCATTCGTCACCACTCGCCCCTTTCCGTAAACTCCTCGTCCCCGTCTCGATGCTTGTTATGTGCGAAAATACGACAAACCAATTAGAACGCGCGTAACGAAGGCGGTGCTTTGATAAAAATAATCCCGAATACTAAAATCGTTTATGACATATGTCATTGTTTAAAATATTTATCATCATGTTGAAAGTACAAGGAATGTAGGTAATATAATCGTTTTGGCTCATGTGTAGTTTTTAGTAAAGACATTGCCATGGAAGGTGAGAGATTCAAATCCACGCACGTGCGTTTGTTTACATAACGGCTCTCATGGGTGCAATATTGAGTGTATTTCTGACGATCTTGAGGGCTTGTTGTGCAGAGTGTATGTGCGCTTCGAAATTTTTTAGGAAATGTAGTTATAAATGGCTACGAGTTTCAAAACAATTATATTATATCTGTATGTAACTAATCAACTTTAATCTTTAACATTGAGCATATATTTCACATATCTCTGGGAATATTTTTTTGGTCATTCATATATTTTCAGCGAATTCATTTAAAATTCAACTTGGGGTATGACAGCAAGGTTACACGAATGTTCAGTGTGAGAAATGTTTAAAGTCTTTTTTGAGTATGTGCTTTGGGATTTGATTTAGCTGAATTTTTAAAACTCTTATTTGTATATGCAATAAAACAAATCCCATTTGTGTCTGATAAACACTATGTAGAAATTTAAATGGAAATATAAGGTGAACAGCTGGTAATAATTACGTTAGAATATGTCTTTAACAAATATGTTTTATTTCTCCTTCTTTTAGTTGTATCAAAGACCTTAATTCCTTAAAATGAATAAGTAAAAACCAAAACAGCAATACAATGTACGGGTGCTTCGGTGATTTTAAGTACCAGTGGAATCAAACAGGAATAGAGTTATCGTTCTTGTGTAAAGTAGTTCTGATGTTCATGCGCTAATATGAAAACCTTCCAGAGGGGCACGAGTCTCTGTTCGGCTTGTCCCGGAATAACTTTCGTTGACAAACGGTCGCACACTACGAAATACCTTTAGCTGACACATGTGTTGCGGTGATTGTTAGTTTAGAACAGCATCGTTTGTGGAATCTCCAAGTGCAATACGAATTGACACGATTGGAGATAACGGGGAAAACGCCATGAAAAATCGGAACATATACATTGTCACGGCATTTCCTACGTCAGAACACGAGGAAGTTTAAGTCTATGGTAACTTGGCATCGATGAAATAGTGAAAACTGACTTTATAGATAGGTTTTTACGTTATTTTCAACGATAATTCCTTAACTATCAACTAACTATTAACCTAAAAATAGTTCTCATACTATCACTGACCTCACTGTAATAAAATCGGAGATACGTCTACATGTGCAGCCAAGGCAGCCGGAAGGCCTTTATCGCCGATATATAATTATTATACATCCCTGACTTGATTGATAATTGAAAAAATACCCCGCAGAATGTAACAGGTGGATAATATTATAAATGTTAACTTTTGATCAGCAGTTCTTCGCGCATCTGATTTCGGTTAGTTTTAAAAATTTCTGACACAATCGTTTTATGTTGACAATATATTTTCCCTGACAGACCATCTACTATCTAGCTGTAGCGTTTTATCCCGATTTTCATTCAACAGTTCTCAAAGACAGCTGCATCATTATGCCTTTTTGTTAAGAATTAACATACCAAAGTAAATGTGTTTAATATCAAATATTGTTATGATGACATAAATTTGAATATAACCCCATACGTATTCCATGTAGATATGTTTATGGATTTATTTATATGTGTACATATATAACACGTAATGCGTATGTGTTATGACTGCTAAAAGGTCATGTATGTGTAATGTAATATTGAAGTACACATGCGCCATCATGCACAAATATCAGATAAAATTACAACACTGTACAATGCAGATATCTATTTATGCAAAGGGGAAGAAAGGCTGACTTCATTGATTTATTTGTGTGAGAATTTGAAAAACAATAAGTTTTGCAAGGAAACAAAAAGCTAGGTCTAAAATATAGAACATGAGCTTCTGAGCAATATGAGTGTTATAATCATATAAATATAGTGAAGGCAAACTGCCTGTAGACACTGCATGCCAGCAATATGTAAACCATTTGATGTTTACAACACTTAACAGTATCATTTATTATAAAGACTGACATTTATAATTAGTATGGAAATAATTTTGTTTATATATTTGTGATGACAACTTGAAGTTGGAAAGTACCCTTGTATATTTACTTAACTAGTACAGCTTTTTCTGTGTCTGAAATTTTTTTTTTTTCTTCTATTAAAATTTTTAAATATCATCTTAATATATATACTTAATTTATCATAATTACAATGCAGTGATTGTAGAAATTTGCAACATATATCCACCATTCACCCATACAATCATTCTATACTTCATACACCATAAACCCCTACAGATAACAATCAGTTGTTGGCGATCTATAGCCCAATTTTACATTGTATTGTCCAGAAATAATTTTCTACTTTTAAAGATATATGCTAGCTAGTTTTAACTCAATCTGTGATAATCTAGTGGTTTTATTGTCCTTCGTTGACAGGGTTTTATATATTATATGTATGTATTATAAATTTAGAACTAGTTTTAGTCACGATATGGCTGAAATATTGCCGATGTGACTTTAAATCTTAACTCACTCACTCACTCACCCACAGATAACAAAAACGGTACATTTCAGCTATGTCCATTGTATATTAATATCGTATTTGAACATAACATTATGATATGTAGGCGATAAATGACATTATTTGCCGCGACTGTTTATTACGTGAACATTGTTTTCTCTTCTCTAAGCTATAGCTGCTAAATATTTGTGTTGTCAAAAATCCCAATATATTCAGGCCGTCGAAATTCACACGTTGCATACAAGACCTTCACATTTCGTGTACCGCCGATATCACCGATGCATCATGGAATCGCCGAACAAATATATATACACTTGATATATCATCGTTCAAGGGAAAAGGACCCGTGAAGATCCGGGGTAGAATAGGTCTTCAGCAACCCATGCTTGCCACAAAAGGCGACTATGCTTGTCGTAAGAGGCGACTAACGGGATCGGGTGGTCAGGCTCGCTGACTTGGTTGACACATATCATCGGTTCCCAATTGCGCAGATCGATGCTCATGCTGTTGATCACTGGATTGTCTAGTCCAGATTCGATTATTTACAGACCGCTGCCATATAGCTGGAATATTGCTGAGTGCGGCGTAAAACTGAACTCACTCACTCACTCACTCAAGGGAAAAGATATGATGCCCATGCACCAGCTATGAACGTTACCGGTGAAGGTGAAGGCTATACTGGTTAACCGTCTCTATGTAACACGTACGCATACGACATGTGTTGTCAGTTTAAGGTTGGATCGATCGGATCAGCGCACCTAGCGGATAAGTGACGGGAAGATAAACTGAAAAAGATCACCTATTCTACCACCCGTCTAGGTGAAGTAAGGGTCGAAGTGGTGTATTGGGCAAAGGAGTGCTATTCCTAGATCATTGCACTCAACCACCAGAATCCCGTCCTTCTACGACTCAGGGGCGCAACCCACGGCAAACAGGTTGCCCAATTTGGTCGCCTTTTACGACCAGCAATGGGGTGCTGAGGACCTATTCTGCCCACACGGGGGAAAAAGCTATAAGCGTTACCCAGAACACACCACGAGGAGGCTGCTCATCACGTGTGCCTATACTATGAATTGACACGGGTCAATGTTACGGTCATTTATGAAAAGATATGTTGCTGAAGTGACGCCAGCTTTGCAGCACATTGACACACAATCCGTTATTAGTATCAACAAGTAAAAGAGACAATGTTTCCTATCTGAAGATACTTCAGAAGAAGGCAACAACTTACCAAAACCAATATCACGTTGCTGACATATTGATTCAGGTCATCCCACGGGTCAAAAGAGACTCCATTTCGTTCTCTGCACCTGTTTATCATTTCTTGTATTTCTGCTTGGGCAAGATGCTCAACATTTTTCAGAGCAGTTCCAAATTGTTTTATTCCTCGAAAGGTCAGTTTTCTCAGGTATTGCTGTGTGTCACTAGCCGTCTGGAAAATCAAATGATCCGGAAGCAAATACTCGCTAAAGCATGAATTAACCTTTGCACTGAAGATGTCAGCATATGCAGGAGATAAAAGGAGATCTCTGATGGTATGGAACTGGTCCAGAATGAGTGCTGGCGTCAATAGGAAATGGACGGTGAATATGGCATCGTATTGCGAACCCAATCACGTTAGATCGTTGAGCATTGTAGCTTCCTTTATGTCTAAGAAATTGCCCAGTATTGGTAGTGGTTTTTGACCAGGAGGCATCTTGCTATACTTCCGTTTCCACTGATAAATGTAGGCGATAAACAGCACAACGGCTGCCCCCAGTATAATCTCAGTCAACATCCTGTTACAACGTCACAGATGTCTAAAACAGAAAGAGGAAATATATCCATGACGGACATATATGTTTCCGAATACATGACAACTGGAAATGAACTAATTCCACCATCAATGCACATAACCTGCTTATGGAGCTGGCAGGAGACATTCCAGTTTTAAAACTACAATGAACAGCAAATGTCCAAACATGTTGACCCTGATAGCATGAAAATATAATCAGTAAAACGTTTCACAGTACCACTTGTTTCAGAGGTTAGGAGGCTTGTTTAAAATATCAAACATTATAAGGTCGGTGATCAGTCATTATTCCATGAGATAAATAACAAATTGTATGACAATTTGACTGTTGGGAGTCATATACATACATATACAATACACACAAATAGTTACCTGTCCTTGTCTTCGTTCGTGACAACCAGCAAGAATAAACGTCGTTTAATTGCTTTGTGCTACGATATTTGGTCAAGGTTGATGCAGATTGTGGGACGTTATGTGTTAACACGACTGCATAGTGACCCTATTTATTACCTCAGAGCTGGTTGGGAGATGGAGGACTGTAACCTAATTCTGACAGCGGCTCGTAATGTTATCTTGAATTAATGTTCTTGAAGTTGCACTGCGGTACTATTTGAGCTATAAAATGTCTTGTTGACAAAAAAAGCCTAGCAACTATAAATATAGCAAAGTTTTTCTTTAAAAGTAGTTTTCTATTATATTTTGATACGGCTATAACACATTACACAATGTATAAAAGAACTACGGTATCACTCCCATATTCATTTCGAATTACATAATTAAAAGGCAGTAGACATTAGTAAAAGATCATTTAAACGTCAAACCTTTAAGAAGCTATCCTTAAAGTGACTGAGATATCCACACAGTCAAGAAATACATGTCTGACTGATTCTCTCTTCACAGAAGAGAGGATGAAGAGGTTTCTGTGCGTTAATGTTTGATTTGTCAATTCATTGCTGTAAACTACACACACAGTGAGGGTTGAGAATTGTGAAAGATTAAATGACCATTACTTGGTTATTAATGTGACCACTAATAGATTGGAACTTTGGTGTTTGAATGTATCATAAATCAAAGCGACAAGACCATTTCCTAATAATAAGCAATAGTTTGTTTTAAACATATGGTTACAAGTGGTGTTCATCGATAGTATCGATGTTTACATCGTCAACTACGCGATACGAGTGCATCGATACTAAACACATTTCGGCAATACATCAGGATATCTATATCGCGAGGGTCCATGATACATCGATATATCGCCACAAGAGACGATATATCCCGACATGGGAGTACTGCATTAGGAATAGGAAAGCTGAAGTGAGGTGAAATTGGGTTTAAAGTCGTGCTTGAGAATATTTCTCTCATATGACGACGCGATGCGTGTGTATGTGTATGTGTATGTGCGGCTGTTTGTACTAGCTCAGACTTAAGCTGGTTTTATAGTGCTAGCCCACTGAGATACCATGCCACAGTGAAGCATGAATACCCCACACAGACACATTATACTGACTCCGAGCCGACCAGTCCTTGTTGTACCCATTAATGCCGAGCGCCAGGCAGGTATGACGCGGTCGAGGATGGAACCCACGATCTTCCGCTCTCCGGGCGGACGCTCTAATCACTACACCACGAAGGCGGTCGAATAGGAAAGGAGTCTCTGAAATTCTTCTAAATTTTAAAAACAAATTGAACTTTAAAGGAATTTGTTTGTGTCTGTTATCTTTGTTACATGAACAAAGGAGTTGGTGTATAAGTCAAAGAGTGTGAACATTTTACAAACTCTGTGTACTGTATAATACTTGTCTTCGAGTAATTAAAATATGCAGATATGTTTTAGTTGTTTGACAAATAACACCTTTTATTAACACCTAATGAACGATGTCTTAGCTTTGTTAAGAAAGAGAACAAAGGGAAAATAAAATTTAGCAAGCAGACTTAAGAGTTTTTTCAGTGATTCTGCATTCTGATATAAATTACATTGAGTTCTTTATGAAAGCATTGGTGTAGAAACACAACTTCCCAAGGGAAACTTCACTTTCAAACTTATATATATTAAATCAAGGCATACTGAATATGTTTCACTGTACTTTCGTAAGCATTAAATGCTAAAACCTTATTAGATTAACAGCTTTTAAGTGTGTGTGAATGTAACATAAGTTCTGCTGTATAACAAATAAAGTGTCAGTCATACCATATCTGTTCTGTTATTAGAAATTGTAAAGTATCGGTTTACGTATCGCATCACCACCATTGTATCGTGATGATAATCGTCTCGCAGGTCCTTGCCAATACTTTCATGATATATTGTCTCGCCTCATTAAACTGGTATCGGGATATATCGTCTCGCCACTTAGGCCACGATACACAGCTCTAATGGTTACTATATCTCAAGCTATCTGTCATCTAAACTGGCAACCTAGCAACTGAAAAATAAATTGTTGAAAGACAGATACTTTCACTTTAACGTAACCAAACCAAATTCAATGCCCAACCTCCCCAGAATACAAATCCGTGTTATGACTGCTGTTGTTTTGCTCGTGATTTTCTAAAAAAAAGACAAACACATGATTTGCGTGTTTAGAAATTGCACATGCACAAACGGTTTAAAGATCGTTCAGTTCACATGTAAGAGATGAGGTATTAAAAATACCACAAAAGAAAGGCCCAGTTTTACACAAGAACGGCATGAGAGGGTAATAGAAATGGTGCACATGGCGGCACCACAGGCCCATGTTGCAGTAACATTGAACTGCCCCCGTAATACTGTGGACAACTTGGTCCAACAATTCAGAATAAAAGGTAGGACAACAGACAGGCCAAGAACAGGCAGACCAAGGGTGACCGCGCCCCCTGAAGATAGCTACCTACGCACCTTGTGTCTGCGTAACAGATACTTGTCTGTCACGTCATCGAAGTCGAATGCTTTCGGGTCGTGTGCTCAGCAGGCAGACAGTGGCAAGACGACTAAGGGCAGTCGGTCTCAGAACTTGTAGACCCTACAGAGGCCCGCTGGAGGCCAATGAACATCGTCTAAGACTGAGATGTACAAGAGTGAGTGATGTGTTGGGGACGTCTTAATTGACAGCGTTATCACTTCACCGACGAGAGCATGTTCAGATTTCATGCTGATGGCAGACAACGTGGATATCGTCGCAGAAGAGAACGTACTGTCCGTCGTTGCGTGCAAGAGGTTGTAGCCTTTGGGTGTAGGAGTACCATGGTATGTGAAGGCATTTGTGATGACGAGAGGACGTCATTGGTCATCATTGATGGTAACTTGAATGCCGTACGCTACAGAGATGAGGTCATACGACATTCCATTCCTTCGTCAACACCAACAAGATATCATGTTCCATCACGACAATGCCAGACCTCACACTGGTTACGTCTTGCAAAACTTCCTTAACATCCACAACGTTCATGCGTTACCCTGTCTTGCTCGCTTCCCAGACCGTTTTCCCGTAGAGCACATTTAGGATATCATAGACTGGCAAATTCCGCCAACAACCTCCCAACACACAGGTTTAACTCACTGCGGCCCTCCATGAAGAATGGCGACGCTTCCCACGACACGTCATCAGGCGACTGACGAATTCAGTGCGTAGCAGAGTGGTTGCCTGAACTCAAGCCAATGGAGGCCACACACGCAACTAAGGTGACACATAATAGCACGTATGGTCACGTTGTGCCGAGCTGACCATTTGGACAGGTACTGAAAACCTGTGTTGTGTACCCCACATGGTCATGTCCAGCCATATTTATTTCATTGTATATTGTATTTTATAACTGTTTACACACGCATTTAGCACATATTGACGTTTCAAATACAGTTCATTATGGTCACTTTTGTTTTGCTGTTGTTTCGCTATGGAGCTTCAAATTGGCTGCCAAGTTTCTTTTGGACGTTTGTCTTACAGCTTTAAATCTATGTGCAAGAATGTTGACGCGCGCAGTTAGCCTTGGCCTCAATTACGTTGTTTGTAACGAGCGTTAAGTGAGCTGAGTGATCTGGATAAAGTGCATATGCAACAAAAACAAGTATTCTGATATCAGTGTCCCAGGTTGACACGCTCTCTCCACCACATACACACGTGTACCACAACTACCGGTGGCGACCTTGTATATTCTGTAGCCGGCTGGAGATACATATTAAACGTGCAGGCCAGGCTGAATGATTTGCATGCATAATATTTCATAATGTTCCCCTTTGTAAAATGCACTTGTTTGTTAAATAAGGAAACTCACAGGCCAAAACTAAGGATATGTATTTAACATATTTACATAATATGTACATAAGTCGATTGAGCTTTAACATAGATGAAGAAAATTCGATACAAGGATGAACATATTGATGTGTCATTGTCAGCATTAATTCAGGTCACTCACCAAACAGTGTGAAAGCAAACTTTAGGAACGCAGGATACACATGAAACAAAATGACATGAAGTGACAAATACTTTCAAATCCTCTGACAGTTCAATCATTAAACACATGTGTCGTCTATTTAAGAAGGAAACATGGTTTCATAGTTTTCAAACTACTATATTTAAACCAGTAACGAACATTTTAGGGAACGTCATGTCTTCAGAAACATTGTCTTGTCCTCAAATAGATTTAAAACTGGTCAAATTTCATGATATTGAAAACTGAAAACAATCATATAAAGATTTAAGAAACATGTTTGGGAGCTATTGTTTTTGGCAAACTAAACATCGATATTATATTATCTTCATAAATCGTAATTGTTTAAAGGCAGAAAAGTAAACTATTCTCAAGTCTACTTATTATCATGCAATCTTTTTTGGGTATAAATTTCAAATAATGATACTGTAATTATTATCATGAGACTAGCAACGAAACTTCTGGAATCAATAGGACTGTAGCTCAATTCTAATGCAATCGAAGCGACAGAAATATCCGTTACTTGGATAAGTCTGTCTTATCAAATACAGAGTGACATTACTTTGTAAACGTGACTAATAACTAGACAGTAAATGATGGTGTCCATTTTATATTTTGAAATGAAATGTACGTTACATCGTTACTTCCTGTTTCAGATGGCTCTCAATTTTAAGTCTTTGGTCATTGCATACATCCTCTTTGACTTCTCAGATGGGATAGGAGTCACATGATATTTGCAAAATAGTATAAGAACTTCACAAGCTATGTAGTTTCGAATCCCCGCGTAACGAACATTTCAGTAACGGAGATTACATACTCTGGCAAATCAAGCAGTAAGTTATAATTAACCACACACAAGCTTTGAATATTGTTTTTCTTTTTCCCATCTGGCATACTTCATGTACTAAATGTAACGTAAACCACGTGAAAAAAGAGCATAGTTCCCTAATTTGGCGGCGGAAACGGACATTTTACTCTTATTTCTACGCATGTAATATTTTCTATGCATTGCAGTAGTATGCTATGAAGAGAGATATTCTAAGCCCCAATTAATGACAAAAAGCTTTGGCGGTGACAGCATTTGTACCCCGTTATTGAGAACGAGTGTGTAGCGATTTGATGTAAGATTTTCTTCAACCACCACTAGCTCTGATCTATTCGTGTAGGACATGGATCCCCAACATGACGCTTTCTCCATCAAATCTGTTCACCTGTCGAACGCAGTTCGGCGCAAAGCGTTCGTGTCAACGTCGTTACACACGTTGTCTCCCATCCCGTCGTTGCAGGAGGAAACGCGATTCGTTGTTGCACCATTGGACACGTCGTTGTCGGTGTAGTCGCGTCAGGACAGGTCCAACTTTCGGTCAATATGCTCGAATTCTCACTTCTCTTAGACGATTTCTGGTGGTTTGGTCGGAAATTTTTCGAAGACCTGGCACATGTTATGCAGTGTCCGTTGCTGCAGCGACTCGCTGACGTAGGTGAAACACCCGGATGAATCGGTCCTGAGCAGGAGTCATTCTTGGTCTCCCACTTCTGGGACCATCTTTGGCCGAACTGAAGCCATATGAAGCCAGGGTATTATCGATGCCATAATCGAGATATGGTGCTGTGGTGGACGTTGAAGTGTCTTGCAACGGTAGACTGGGACTCCCCTGCTTCCAAACGTTCAATGGCGATATTACAGTCAGTAGCATTCAATCTTGGCATTTTAAAATTTTCGTTTAGGTCGTAAATTTCGCAATGAAGTGATGAATTTGCTATCCTTTTATAGTCAATGTATTTTCTCATGTTTCCGGCACATTGCACGTGCACTACGTTGATTACCTTTTTTCTGAATGCACTTTTCATGTATTGTTTACATTTTTTTTATAACAAACGTTTACAAACATATCTTGGAATACGTTTGCGCGCAATAGACAACAACCACGACATGATTAGGGGGTTTTAAATATAGGAATTGTCTAAATGACGATTGCTGTCAAAATAGATAGAAATAAACTGATGAAAACGTGCGTGCGTTTCTTTTTTTTGAAGAGTGTATATGCAATATATCGTCTGAATGTTTTTATATGCCATATTTTGAACAATTCAAATCTTCATGTAGTCATTAAAATAAAGATAATCTTTTATTAACTTTTAGGTGTGGAGCTGGGCCCTTATTCTCGGAACGTTCGTAACCCTACGAATTCTTAACTTTGATCGTAGCCAATGTGTTAAGTATGGGCTTAAGAAGTTCGTAGGGCTACGAACGTTTCGAGAATAGCTAGCCTGGTTATTAATAATACGAACATAAAATGACCTTGCGAGAAAATAACCTATCTCGATTATCTGACGAAACAGAAAACCTTAGGTGTAACAGCGAGTAAAGTTTTCGGGGGACACCAAATATTGTCTTTACACATTGTACCCATGTGGCGAATCACGCTTATTCAAGTCTGGAGTTTATACCTGAAGTGAAACTACTCATGTAGTACACAGACATATCATTACTTAGAGATGACCAGTGCAGGTAGGGTCCACGCAGGTAGCAAATGTACTGTAAGTCCCCATGGTCCCTAGTATGGTGATCTACCTTCAGTTGTTGGCGATCTACAGCATTTATTGTATTGTCATTTATAGTTAAAATATTTTAGATTTAATTATTAGTTTTAAATTTATATCTGTGATAATCTAGTTGTTTTACTGTCCTTTGCAGACAAGTAACTAAATTCAGGAAATTTGTTTTTATTCATTTATGAATTTACAACTTTCTTAGTCACGATATTGCGGAAATACTGCCGATGCGGCTTTAAAACTTTAACTCACTCACTAGAAATGATCATATCCGTGAAGATCCGAGAACTGATCTTCTGCAACCCATGCTTGTCATATGAGTAGAATAACGGGATCGCGTAGTCAGGCTCGCTGAATTGGTTGACACATGTCATCGTATCCCAATTGTGGAGATCGATGTTCATGCTGGTGATCACTGGATTGTGTGGTCCATACTCAATTATTTACAGACCGCCGCCATATTGCCGGAATATTGAGTTAAACAACAAACCAACCAACCAACCATCCATCCAATGTTTGTTAATGCATAGTTGCAGCTGTCTTTCTATCGTATACATGTTCTTACCTCGTCAGGAATGATTGAGTGAGTGAGTTAATATTTATAGTCACATAGGCAATATTTCAGCGATATTATGACTTTAAAATGTTATATATTAACAATAAACGCAATTAAAATATAAAAAAACACACCAAAACCCCAAACAACACTGTCGACAAAGGAGAGTAAAATAACTAGAGTATCACAGACAATTAAACCTAGCAAGTAACTTTTAAAATTAGACAAATAGTACAGACAATACAATATAAAAACGGGCTGGAGATCATCAGCAACTGATGGTAGATCACCATGCTAGGGACTCAGGAATGATTGAGTGAGTGAGTGAGTTATGATTAACGTCACACCGGCAATATTTCAGCTATATAGTGACGAGAACACATGTGACACTGAAATCGATACATGAAATAGGTAAGTGAAGACAAAGCATTTATTCATTGCATTAGTTATCACATACAGAGTTATTGTAGAGTTAATAATTTAACTTTCCAGTATATTCACTGAAGGTGTCTTAATAAATGCTATATTTGTGCAGTGTCCTGGTTATATACTTTGACATTGAACATGCAGTAATGCTGTGGTACTGTCTGAAACAGAACTAATTACGTTGTGCAATTTGTATTGTAATTGTAACGGGTAGAAGCATTTGCTGTTTCATAATCATACAATCCTTTCAAAAACATCCGGATAACCTTTGCTATAAATAGTGCTCTCAGAAACTAACACCCCTCTCGTGAATAGTAATGTTCCGGAATAAAATCACATGTTATATTTCAAATGCACATATAGGAATAACGGCTGTTGCATATTTGGCCAACATACCTTCAATATCAGCGAGCAACTTCTTGCGTAGGGAAAAATATTATCTCCGCCCCTCTCTTAATGCAGTGAAAGGTTACGCAGGCAATATATCGCTTGTCTTTCAAGGAATAACATCTCACGATTTCATTGATAGTTACTCAGTATAAGATGTGGCATGAAACGTCTAGATTAACTACAAAAATATAACAATGACTAAGCATACAGAAATTAAATCCGTTGGGAATTAGTCGAAGTTGATAATATACTTGTCACATGGGTTGATTATGAAGACGTCACATGTATATCCATAGCTATAATGACTGCAATTAGTTCCTGTCGAGATACATGTAAATTTAGGGGTTATCAGGGAGAATGGCTCACGACAGAAGCTCTGACCCTTTCGACAAATCTCAAAACTTACGGTGTGTCGTAAGCAGGGACATTATGGCTCTCAATGTCTAGGTTTGAACTGCAGCTTGTATGGAGGTGGTTGTGAGATAAATTTAGGCTCGTATGTGCTTGGGTCGGATGAAGGGAAAGGCTCCGACGGATCACGAACAAGGTCGAAGTTTTGCAGGATAGACGTCAGTCCAAGAAATATCCTGACTCGGGCCAGCTTCTCACCAATACAAGAACGCTTTCCGACACCAAACGTCAGCAGTCTGCAAAGTAATACAGAACACGTGTAATCATGTGTATTTTTTTACTACCTACATTGCGTAATGATTTAAATGTACCTATGATTTACAGTCCCATGACGTTGTGTCCAGACCTAACATCTGATCATAATGAACGTTCATATCATGCATGAACAACGCGTGTTATACGCATCAGTCAAAGTATGTATGCTTTAAGGGGTACTCATCATCGTTCATACTACCGAGCTAAGCAAACGCTTAAAACTGCCGCCAAGGCAGCCTCCCCATGACCAGACAAAATGGCAAAGTGTGGATACAGTTTGTTTTTGCGGTATTCCAAGTTGTCCGAATAATTGAAAATTAAACAGTATAACTTTTCGACAGGTACCACCAAACGGGTGGGGTTGCATTGCGACGGGATAATGGTAGGACCTAAAACGACACCTCATCAATTATGCCACCGATCCAAGGATAACTTACAGCTTATTCAACAGCTATGAAAGGATGTTTAGGTTTTATTTCACAGGTATGTATTCAACGTATGGGACCTCTTTGTGTATAAGCTTTCTTTTTCCCCCAGCTGAAAACCCTGAATTGGGCTATATGCAGATCTACCTCTGACGCTTTTCATCCTCCGATGGCAGAAGTTCGCCATTATCATCCAAGAATCTGGTTGGATCAAACGTGAAGGGATTCTCCCAAAATGATTCGTCGTGGTGTACACGCCATACGTTGTAAATAACCTTCATAAAGAGAGATTCTTGTCATTATTGTGAACAATGTATTATGTTCTAATGTCAAAGAATATAAGTGTACTACAAAACCCTAGGATAAATTTACGATGAAAAATACAATTTTCAATGAAACTGTTCTGTTAATGTAGTGAGGGACATCCAAGATACAGTTGTTACAACTATTGATATTCTTTTTAATGATATAAATAGTTTTACAGTGTAACAGGGAAGTCAGATTGAGATTTGCATTAGTCGTTGAACGTCAGATAGATTTCGTTAGATGACTGGTCCACTATCCTTCATGTCCTTTACCATGGAAAGTAAAACGGATTTATATCGCATGAATCTGCCTCTGTCCTACATAGACATTCACAGATTCGACGAGGCATTTTCTAATCAAACGTCCATATCAACTGGGTTTATTTTATCTCATTGTCATCCCTAGTAAATTGAGAGTGGACGGTGATGATGCAGCGGCAGAAAATATAAACAATGGAACCCATTCAGTATCACATGAGATATATTTAGTATTCAAAATGGTGTCTAGTTTCATATTTTGTAAAAATATCATTTCTGTACCCATTAACTAAATAGCTGCAATAGTGGTAATGAATATGTAAAAATGGTTGTTACATGAACATCCATCCCTGTGCCATTAGAAATGCTATACGTTCTGAAGCACAAACTGACATATGATCATGAATCATATCGAGGGTCCAGAAAGCTCTAGCAGTACGAACTTGGAAGAATCTTTGGAGACTCCCGTCTATAATGGAACAAGATTCATAGCACAATCCTGACTTAAGGACAAGCCGAGGAGCAGTTTTAAAGGGTGTGGGTGGATCCACTTGATAGATGCAAGTGAACAATGAAGAAATAACCGGCAATGACTTCGAACAAGGATTTTGAGGGGGACTATCTAGAATGGAATCTGGAGCCAACTTCTGCATTGAGACGAAACGTTACCAACGTCTTAGCAATTCTTGCATCTGACAGCTGGGGGAACAAAATGGACGAACAATGAATGATTGACAGTTCATTATGACACATTCAAAAAGACAAAGGGGTGGCAATGTAAACAGAAGTTGTAATTTCCTTTTCCTTCCTACGAAATAACGCTTAAGTTGAAGGACCTTTTGACCACTGAGATGTTCAACTATTTCCTCGATATTCACATTAAAGTCAACATTTTAAATGACCCCCTTGCTTTGTTTCACACTCTTTGAGACACAGAATTCACAAATTGACGTAAATCCAAGGCACCCTTTAACTGATCAATGATCAACAGGTCATTTTTTCTAAACATAATTCACCAAATAAACATAACCTATAGATGCGTGAATGCCACGACAAAAAGAGAGTGGACTCAATCATTTCAGTGAGTGAGTGAGTATGGTCTTACGCCGTAAATTGGGCTTCCAACATTTTACAATCGTTTTAGGCTAGGTCTGATGTGAACAGGTGAAAACATTACAATTTTAGATAGCAAACCATGGTGTTTACGCCTTTTCGATACAGTCTGACATAATTGGCAGCACATTATGCATGGGTAGATGTTACCTCGATTGTGTTAAAATATATCATTATATCCCAGCCCGTCAATATCACCATCAATATCGAAGACTAAAGAAGTGTTCGCCAAGTGTTCGCACATGGGGCGAGGTAGACTAAGGCTTAGTCTCTGAATATATATAATTTTGATAGTAACAAACAAGTCAATTTATATTGAAAAGGAGCCCTAGGGAAATCAGAGATTCAGAGACTAAAAATATCTGCATTGGGGCTACACGTGCTGGGGCCATTACCAATTAGAAGTCACATCATACAACCATCAGATAACGCTATAAGTGAAAGGCATATTTATTGGCCCTCCTGTTAAGCCCTGTCCTATCTCCATGCTGTCATCACCTCATGTGGGCCGGTCAAGTGCCCCTACTGCCTAACATTTTACTTTTGGGAAACTTGCAGCCCACAATGTCACTTGGACACTAGATGACCAAGGTGCAAGATCTGTGTGGAACACCAACAAAATTATTTATGGATTTGAACTTATCTCCAAATTCAAAAGTTTCCATCTGTATATATGCTAAGAGGATATAGATAACCACCTTTTTTTAATCAAACTGTTCAATGGGGCCAGCGTCTGTCTTACGCTTGAAGATGTTCCGGGTATTTCTAGATACTACATCATCATCACTAGATTTCACCGTGCATGCCTCAATCACATCACAAAGGTAAACAGATTCAATTCCAAGATGCTGTGCCTTTTGAATTTGGTTCTTCATGAGAAGGCGACTAACTGGGTCGGGTGGTCAGGCTTGCTGACTTGGTTGACACATGTCATCGTATCCCAATTGTGTAGATGCTCATGCTGTTGATCACTGGATTGTCTGGTCCAGACTCGACTTATTTACAGACCGCCGCCATATATGGAATATTACTGAATGCGGTGTAAACCCAAACTCACTCACTCACTCACTCTTCATGCTAGGTCCCTGCCATATGTTTTACTGTTGAGCAATTAGATAAAAAGAGATACTCAAAACACACCAGAGTTTCACACAATAATCTTATATCTGGTATAAGAAAAATAACCCTTGTTTTAATTACAATTAAATCTTTAACCGCATTTACAATTGGGCTGCTCTGTGTGGACCCAAGTCAGACAATGAAACAATACTTTTTACAACATTACATTCAGGAGGAACCTTTCCCCAAGATTTTGCTTGATTTGTCTCTTTAAGACCAGAAACTGTGCACAAGGCCTCCACTATAGCTTCATGTCACCCAATGTGCTTGTTAATTAAGAGTTGACAGATGAAAATGTGAGGCAAGATTCCAGACAACTGGTGAGGATGTTTGTCCGGCCAGCCATGGCAGTTAGATATGTTTACTTTGTAATCCGACCCCCAAAGTGAGTTAGTTTTCTTGCAGATGTTAACAGACCCTGAATCTGAGGAAATCTAGACTTGCTTTATTTAGGGCTTTAGCATTGCAGAGAGGGCTTGGCAGTAGGGAAAATAATGTGGTTCAGGGACTGTGAGACAGACTAGGGGCGAGGTGTCAGTCGCTCTGCACTTTACCAAGTGAAATAAGAAAATGGGAATGTTAGCCAATATTTTAGGCTAACCATATGATAAACTTACTGTGATGATGTAATTTGTATATGACATTCCAAAAGATGGAAATGTAACAGTAACTAGCCCAATAGATGCCAAAACAGCGACAGAGTGTGTCAACACTGAGGTTGGAGGTAGTCGGTAACAATACTCGTGTGTTCCTGCGATGCCATCGTGAAACACAAAACGAGGTCTATGTTGGCGTATCAGTGGCACCACGTGTTCCTCAAGGATGTTGTGACGGTAGAACTGCCCAGTGAAACGTCAGTGAATAACAAAATCACGTGAATAACAAACCCTCACCATTACTGAGCCTATCCCAAAAGGATCGTTCTGTCTAACATTAGCGGCGTGAAAATGCCCATTCCCTTTCAACCACAGGTGTCAATCTGTCAGTGAAGTCCAAAGATAACCTCAGTTCCCTTAAAAACATAACGTTTGCCCCAAAACGTTTGATCCACCGCTGCAGTTCTTGGCACGAACGACGTCTTGCAATAATGAGCCAGTCTGTCAATCGTGGGGAAAAACTCCATCCATGTTGCTGATTACAAATGATGCTAACATCTGTAAGCTTGTGAAGCTCATCTTCAATTTGACTTTCGTACTTTGATCACGGGTACATACTCCTCATGTGAGTGAGTTTGTGAGTTAATGTTTAGCGTCACATCGTGACGTGACGAGAGCAATGTAATTTATATCAATAGTGAAATAAATAAAAAATAGTACGTAAAAACTTGTCATCGCAGGACAGTAAAAATACTAGGTTATCACAGCTCTTCATTTAAAACTAGTACGCTATCATAAAAATAAATCACTAGAGACAACAGTACAATATAAAAAGACGGACTATAGATCACCAGCAACTGAAGGTTGATCACCATACTAGGGACCATGGGAACTTACAGTACTTTTGCTTCCTGCATGGATCAAATATCTGGATATCTGCTGGATTTATATCAACTCCTCAGCGGCTGGTGATTGTAGTCTACTCCTGATGTGAACGGAATAGCCCCTACTTTCTTTTAAGTGTATTTTGCGGATATGTTGCCCTTCAGTACTTCGAACACGTACCCTTGTGCCTTTGGGGATGCTGTAACCTTTATAGCTGCAGTCTTGGGTAGTGTTTCTTGGTCCAGGCGTACCGACAGGAGTGTAGAAGCGATGTATTTCTAATTCCACAGCCTTACTGTAGGGCATTTCGTTCCGGTCCTCAAAACCAGGAAGTCGGTCCTTTCCAACCACTCTCTGGATCTCCTCCTGGATCTTCTTCTGGACCTCAGGGAAGTTTACCATTGCAGCTAGGGCATTGTACATGGTTGGTTTTGTTGTGATAACACCTATCCACATAATAGAAAATCGTGATTTAGTTTGGGACCTGGCATCTGTGAAGTGATTATTATTTACATTTTCTTGGGTGACAGGAATAGTACAAAACTATTTCTGTATAGAGATGTACAACCTAGAAAGTATACTGCTTCATCTTATTTTTACAGTATTACCTGCAAGCACCGAATCCACCATGACACCTTTTATATTTTCCGTTGATATCAATCCCTCCTCATGCTCTTGTAAAAGCAAAGTGTAGAGACAGTTGGGCGTCGTATCCTTGGATTCCTTCAAAATTATGTCCAATCTATTACACCATATTTGCAATCAGGGTTTTCTGATTATACTACAATATTCGTGCAATTTGTTTAAAGTACATACACTACCATTAATTTCACAGCGTCATTCAGACGTGTTTTACTTGACATTAATTCAACATTTCTTAGTATTAGTTTGTATACATTACCTGTGATATTTTGTCAAAAGTTTCGGTAAAATAGTGGCAACCATCCTTCAAAGATTGGCAAGCGTGTCTCAGCTGTGGTATCAACGTCGTACTAAACGGGACATTGTCAATGAGAAACTGGTTCTTGTGGTGTAAAAGGACAACATAGGCATCTGAAATTTTCTGACAATTTTCCAGTGTCTTATGGCCAAGTTGAAATCTTCGTCCACAAAGCTGAAATAAAATACACTAGCTGTGAATTGACACAGGTGAATGCTGCGGTCATCAATATAACTAGAAGCGAGAAAACCCTTTCCACGTCGCTTGTACACTTGTGACTATCATGAGTTTATATTTGTTTCCGCAGTATTACAGCTGTACGATGTTGTTTGTAAAGAAATCGAGTCCAGATTGTCACGATGTGATGCGATAACAGAGCATGTGTTTATGAATAACTATGAAATAGTGATGATACCAGGTGTTCGCGAAAAGGTGACTCGTCATAAATGTATGCTAAGTTCAGTCAATTAATCACCTGAAATAATTCGGGAACGTACGGTATAAGTCAAAATAGGGAATTGCATTGGACATTATTTTTGTCACTGATGCATTAAATTTGGAAATTATGTTGCGGAAGTTGACACCCAATTCATCATGAGTACCATTGACGGATAAACGCAATGGTTCCTAATTATTACTGAAAATTCTTCAGAAGAAGGCACCAACTTACCATAACCAAGATCACGTTGCTGACATATTGGTTCAGGTCATTCCACGGGTCAAAAGAGACTTCATTTCGTTCTCTGCACCTGTTTATCATTTCTTGTATTTCTGCTTGGGCAAGATGCTCAACATTTTTCAGAGCAGTTCCATATCGTTTTATTCCTCGAAAGGTCAGTTTTCTCAGGTATTGCTGTGTGTCACTAGCCGTCTGGAAAAACAAATCATCCGGAAGCAAATACTTGCTAATGTATGAATTAACCCTTCCACTAAAGATGTCAGCATATGCAGGAGAAAGAAGGAGGTCCCTTATGGTGTGGAACTGGTCCAAAATGAGTACAGGTTCCATTAACAAATGGACGGTGAATATGCCGTCGTGTTGCGAACCCAATCTAGTGAGATCATAGAGCATTGTAGAGTCTTTTATTTCTTGGAAATTGCCCAGAACTGGCAGTGGTTTTGGACCAGGAGGCATCTTGCTATACTTCCGTTTCCACTGATAAATGTAGGCGATGAACAGCCCAACAGCTGCCCCCAGTATAATCGCAGTCAACATCCTGTTACAACGTCAGTGAAGAGACACAGATTTGTATGTATGTCTAAAACAGAAAGAAGAGGCAGTATATCAATTAGGGCTGGGACCGGTAACCCAGATACCCTGCCCGGGTGGGTAATGAGTTGGACCCGGTACCCGTCTCAGTACCCGGACCCGTTATGATCATGTGACTACTAGATTAAACAACGTAATATTCTTTCATAATTAAAAGGTTGTATTGTCTTTGAAGATTTAGACATAATTGATAATACATGGTTAAAATATTGAAAAAGTCGAAAAAAATTCTCGAAACTGAAGAATATATCTTACAAAGTTGATGTCAGGAATTAACAAAATGGGTATAAGAGTAGGGTAGGGTAACAGGGGCTGGGGTAGCCGGGTAGAACAAATTGGACCCCTCCCAGTTCTAATATCCATGACGGACACATGTCTTTGAGAAAAAATGACAACTGGAAATGAATGCACCATAATTTTCACCTCACCACATATACAATACATACAAATAGTTACCTGTCCCTGTCCCGGACAACCAGCAAGAATGAACGTTGTTAAACCTGTTTGTACTATGGTGTTTGGCCCCTACATCTGTGAAAGTTGATCCGCAGATTGTGGTTCGACATGTTTTAACAAGTCTGCAGAGTGGAAGTGTGCACCCTATTTATTCACGTCATAGCTGGTTGGGTAATGAAGGCCATGACACAATTCTGAACGACTTGTTATCTAGTCTTAAGTATATATTTAAAATTATATGGCAATACGTTTTGATCTATAAAATGTTCTTATTATGTAAACAACTTGTTGACAAAGAAGAGCCTAACAACCATAAATATATCACAGTTTTCTCATTATAACTAGTTTTCGACTATATTTATGATCCAACTGTAACAGATGAGAAAATATGAAAAAGAAAATTTACATATTGTTTATCAATAGCATAATTACGGGGCTGCAGATATTAGAATTGCAATGAATTATGTGATTACAATGAACATTCAAACGTCTGCTGAACACCCAAATGTATGTGAAAGGGCATTTAAACTTGTGTAAAAAAAGTCAGGAATGACAGATATGATACATACCTTTATATTTGTTAAGAAAAGAATTGGTTAGCTAGAAGTTGGTTATATATACTGACCAGCAATAAAAACGCAACTCAAAATTCATAAAAATTATACTTTTCCAGCCTGAGTTTGGATTTGATACTTTAACACAATTGTTTTGATTTCTTGAATTGCGTTTTTTTTGCTGGTCAGTATATGCCATTGTTAATATGTGTCTCTTTTGTATGTGGGCCTATGGTCTTTCGTGCAATAAAGAATTGAACTGAGTATATGAAACTTGATGCTTTATTTCTATATTTCTGGTTTGCATCAAGTATGATTATCTTAAAGCTTTAACATATGTCAGTGAAAAACTCGTGCGTGCACAATAAAGAATGTTTATCTACTATGTGCCAGGTCAAATGCTAGCACACTGACATGCACAGTCAGCCTTTGACTTGATTGCGTTGTTTGCAACGATAGTTTGGTGGCGTGAGTGGTTGAGATACAATTTATTATCAGCAGTATTTCAGCCACAAGGTTTTAATGCATACACACAAGTGCATTATGAATACAACTCTTTTTATGTTACCACAAAATAATGTTTACAGAAGGCTATTTATAAGCCACAAGCAACAAAAGCCAGGCCATCTCGCTGATTGTGTTTTCAGATTTCTATATTGATGTTAAAGCAAGGTTACTTGACACACCCCTGGCGACCAATCTTTTAGTATACGTGAAATCGACATCAGTATTATAAATGCCACAAACATCTGCTACAACAAATGTGTATTCTGTAGCCTGCTGGGGATGAACCTGCAGGCCAGGCCTAATGTTTTGCATGCATAGTATTTTCTAATGTTCTTGTTTGTTAAATACTTTTGTTTTTAAAACAAATATTTGTGAAATATGTAGTCTGAATGTTGAATGCCGCAGCTGCTAGCTATTTTGAGCAATTCAACCAGGTCAAAATCTTCATGCGGTCATTATAATAAAGAAAAAGGTCAGTGTTATCTACATGGACTATATTTATGATACGACTGTGACGGATGAGAAAATATAAAAAAGAACATTTACATATTCTTTATCAATTGCATAATTGCACGGCTGTAGATATTAGAATTTCAATGAATTATGTGATTACAATGAACACCCAACTGTAAGTGAAAGGGCATTTAAATTTGTATAGGATAAATATGGAATGACAGATATGTTTCGATACCTATATTTCTGTTAAGAAAAGAATTGGTTAGTTACAAGTTGATTACATATACTGACCAGCAATAAAACCGCAACTCAAAATTCATGAAAATTATACTTTTTCAGCATGATTTGACTAACTGGCTTTCGCATGTGTTTATGAAGGGTGCCACCGATGGGGCAGAAAACGATATTCTTTTATAGCAAACACGTCGGAATTGTACAATCGGATCTGTATTTTGCAGAGATTTCTTAAGGACTATTTGGAGAATGTGGAAACTGGCTAACATTACAGTCTCCTGCATTACCAAACTGCCTGACGAATGTTGGCAATTAGCTCACAAGGATTTCGGCACATATATACAACTTCAGTAACCGGAGATGGTCAGGAATATTCTGCTCTGCCATGTATGTATACACTTGCATGGCATTGCTGTCTTGATAATTTACCACTTATTAGTGGAATTGTTTGCGATCCTGTTGCTTTTGCATACTCAAGAAGTGTGTGTTTGCTGGTGCATCCATGGTATTCGTGACGTGGCTCCCTTGGGACATGCCCCAACTCCAGCATGGTTGGCTTGTATACAGGAGAAAGCTGAGTGGGCTGCGGAGATGAAAGAGATATTTCTTCTTTTCGTTCTGCAACCCAGTGATAACCAGCTTATTGGGTAGCCCTAACTGTATGATGTACGTTTGGTTCAGGGGAACAAATCCTCTGTTGTGTCCGTTGTTGTGCATTTGTACTGAATGTAAACAGATTGAATTAAAGCTTAACAGCTGGGACGCCACAGCAGTGGGGTAACTGTTCTAACAGTTGTCCTTTTGTTTACAGCTAGTCGTCTTTAAATTGACAGAGCCTAGGTTCTGATTTTCACTTGTGACACCCCTAATTTGTTTACAAATATTCAACCCGATGGTTTGACTTATCTTGAACATTATTTTGATGTCATTGTGGCTTACCATCCCGATAAACACATGGTTCTAGTGGATGATCGAAATCCCAGAATGAAGGATTTTCTAGATTTAACACCAGAAGACACTACTGATTTTAATGGTAAGGATTATCTTGACGTACCAAGATCATGCAGAGTAACCATATCATGTGTGACCTTCAGTGGAGGAAGATGTGTTGATTGTGACAGACTCCTCTTCACTTCTCCCATATATCCCATTATTTAGAGGTCAGCACCGCCCGACTGTCCGACAAGCCATTTTCCTCTGCCCCCAGGCATTTGTTTACATCAATAAATCGTGAATTTCATATGACCCGATCCTAACACTTGATTTAGAAAAGGCACACGTGTGCATACATAACGTCATGCATATGCCTTGGAATGATCAGCCCATTGATTGGACCAGCCCCCATCCTACCAGTCGTCCACGTTGGGAAAAACTTAGGTGCAACATATATCAACATATAATAGTTTAAAACCTCAGTGACCCCATGAATGGTCATGATAAGACGTCTGACAAATTGGTGAGAGATCTTGACTGTAATATTTGACTTGTTTGAGACAAAATCCACAAAAAGTATCAGCACTCCTGATTCCAAGGCTATCGGGAGCTGATCGTAAACTGACAAACACATGTTCAAACTATATGAACTCAAAAGACATCGTCCAAACGCAACAATTGTCCTTCCACTTCAATAACAACTGCAAGATGGGGTCCTGCATGACTTCGCCAGACCCAATACAACCTAACATGTAAAGAACGTCCTTACAGCCAACAACAGCAACGTTTGCAGTGACATGCTTGGAGTTTGAATACATGAAATGGGCAAGTGAAGACAAAACATTATTCGTGATATAAGTTATCATATAACATACTTATTATAGAGTTAATGATTTAACTTTCCAGTATATTCATTGAATGTGTCTTTAATAAATTCTCTATTTATGCAGTGTTGTGATTATATAGTTTATGATTGAACATCACTAATGCTGTGGCACTGTCTGAAACAGAACTAATGACGTAGTGCACTTTCTATTGTAATTGTAACGGGTAGAAGCATTTAATTGTTGTTTCATAATCATACAATCCTTTCAAAAACACCCGGAGAACCTTTGCTATAAATACAGCTCTCAAAAACTAACACCCTTTCGTGAATAGTAATGTTCCGGAATAAAATCACATGTTATACTTCAAATGCACATATAGGAATTACGTATGTGGCATATTTGGCCCCTAACCTTCAATAACAGAGAGGCAACTTAGTTAATTTCTTGTATGGGGAAAAGTTATTATCTCCGCCCCTCTTTTTATTCAGACACAGGTTAGGCAAGCAACGCATTGCTTGTCTTTCAAGGAATACCATCTCACGATCTCATTGATAGTTACTCAGTATAAGATGTGGCATGAAACGTCTAGAATAACTACAAAAATATAACATTGACTACATGTACTGAAATTATGTCTATCTGGAATTAGTCGAAGTTAATAATATACTTGTCACATGGGTTGATTATGAAGACGTCATATGCATATCCATAACTATAATGATTGCAATTAGTTCCTGTTGAGATACACGTATACAACCTTAGGGCTCAACATGGAGAATGGCTCACGACAGAAGCTCTAACACTTTCGACAAATCTCCAAGCTTATGCGTGTGTCGTAAACAGGGACATTATGGCTCTCAATGTCTAGGTTTGAACTGCAACTTGTATGGAGGTGGTTGCAGCATAAAGTTAGGCTCGTATGTGTTTGGGTCGGATGAAGGGAAAGGCTCCGACGGATCACGAACAAGGTCGAAGTTTTGCAGGATAGACGTCAGTCCAAGAAATATCCTGACTCGGGCCAGCTTCTCACCAATACAAGAGCACTTTCCAACACCAAACGTCAGCAGTCTGCAAAGTAATACAGAACACGTGTAATCATGTGTATTTTTATACTACCTACATTGCGTAATGATTTAAATGTACCTATGATTTACAGTCCCATGACGTTGTGTCCAGACCTAACATCTGATCATAATGAACGTTCATATCATGCATGAACAACGCGTGATATACGCATCAGTCAAAGTATGTATGCTCTAAGAATGTACGCCAGAGACCCAACACCGACTAGCAAGGATGGCATGATGAAAGAGGCAATACCAAGGATAACTAACCTCAGCTATGAAAGGACAGTTAGGTTTTATTTCACAAGTATGTATTCAACCTATGGGACCTGTTTGTGTATAAGCTTTCTTTCTCCCTGCTGAAAATCCTAAATTGGACTGTATGCAGGCTGACATATGCAAATTTACCTCTGACGCTTTTCATCCTCCGGTGGCAGAAGGTCGCCATTATCATCCAAGAATCTGGTTGGATCAAACGTGAAGGGATTCTCCCAAAATGATTCGTCGTGGTGTACACGCCATACGTTGTAAACAACCTTCATAAAGAAAGATTCTTGTCATTATTGTGAAAAATGTATTATGTTCTAATGTCAAAGAATACAAGTGTACTACAAAACCCTAGGATAACATTACAACGAAAAATACAATTGTCAAGGAATCAGTTCTGTTAATAAAGGGAGGGATATTCAATATGCAGTTGTTACAACTATGGATATTCTATATCTTGAATGAGATAAAAAAAAAATTACAGTGTGACAGGGAAGTCAGATTGAGATTTGTCTTAGTCGTTGAACGTCATATAGATTTCGTTAGCCGATTGGCCCACTGTCCTTCATGTCCTTTACCATGGAAAGTAAAACGGATTTATATCGCATGAATCTGCCTCTGTCCTACATAGACAGATTCGACGAGGCATTTTTTAATCAAACGTCCATATCAACTGGGTTTATTTTATCTCATTGTCATCCCTAGTAAATTGAGAGTGGACGGTGATGATGCAGCGGCAGAAAATATAAACAATGGAACCCATTCAATATCACATGAGATACATTTAGTATTCAAAATGGTGTCTTTTTTCAAATTTTGTAAAAATATCATTTCTGTACCCATTAACTAAATAGCTGCAATAGTGGTAATGAATATGTAAAAATGGTTGTTACATGAACATCCATCCCTGTGCCATTAGAAATGCTATACGTTCTGAAGCACAAACTGATATATGATCATGAATCATATCGAGGGATCCAGAAAGCTTCAACAGTACGAACTTGGAAGAATCTTTGGAGACTCCCGTCTATAATGGAACACGATTCATAGCACAATCCTGACTTAAGGATAAGCCGAGGAGCAGTTTTAAAGGGTGTGGGTGGATCCACTTGATAGATGCAAGTGAACAATGAAGAAATAACCGGCAATGACTTCGAACAAGGATTTTGAGGGGGACTATCTAGAATGGAATCTGGAGCCAACTTCTGCATTGAGACGAAACGTTACCAACGTCTTAGCAATTCTTGCATCTGACAGCTGGGGGAACAAAAAAGACGAACAATGAATGATTGACAGCTCATTATGACACATTCAAAAAGACAAAGGGGTGGAAATGTAAACAGTCAACAGTGAGTGAGTTAGTGAGTGACTGAGTAAATATGGTTTTACGCCGCTTTTAGCAATATTCTAGCAATATGACGGCGGGTGACACCAGAATTGGGCTTCACATATTGTACAATCAATTTAGGCTAGGTCTGGGATTGTTGTACACAGGTGGGAATAGCAGAAAAATGACGTCATCATCGAACATCTGGCTGACCTCATTTCAAAGGGGTGTCAATGACTTTGTACAGAGCTGACCTTGGGATAAACCAATTTTCCCAGAGGAATTTTTAGATCAGGTGCATAGCAACCGAAGGAGAATGACATCATGGCATACGGATAGATCAACTGGTTTAATCCGGTTTGGGAATAAAAATATATAAACCCCTTCATTTCGGATCATGCATCACTTCATCCCTGACTACACAGACGACATCCAGCTATACAACTCTCTCTGTCTCATACCACTTCCCATTTCTCACATGGGAACCTCCTTTCTCCTGCCATCATATTGCTAGAATCTGGCTTCTTAAGCGAGCGAAAACAATGCCCACTCACACGTGTCACTTTCATTCACTTTCAAACACATATTAAAACAGTGAAACGAGTAATTGAGACAGTATGTAGTTAGGTAATGATTTGAGGTGACTCTGACCAGTCCACTCAGTTTCTTTGTATTTTGTTTTGTGTTTTGTCACCATGTCCATATTGCCGTATATTGCCACCATGTTATATTGTATTGCCGTATATTGCCACCATGTTATATTGTATTGCCTTACAATCGACATTACGATGCCGTTGTTTTGACTAGCTTTTCAAATTTAATGAACACTGGGTTGTAACACGTCACAAGTCCAGAAACCCGCCGCACTTTGCCCACTTTCTGACAAGGGATTTGACAAAATTAAACATGCAGTTGTCATGAACATATGCTAAGGATGAAAAAATGAAAAAAAAATTTTTTTTGGCTAGTTTCGCTCAGAATTCATGTTTTGGGGGTTGTATATGAATGAATGCATGTTTATAAGTATCATGACACAAAATTCAAGTCAATTTGACTTAATTTGGCTAATTTAGAGCAATATTAAAAAATCTCGCCCATGGGCGACAATACTTACTTTTGCTCAAAATACATGGCAATGTGTCTTTTTTCAGAGTTTTCCCCAATGCCAATGTGACTCGACTCGGGAGCTGGGGTAACTTCAATTCTACGTACTCACAGTAGGTTTCTTCAAGTGTTTGCTTGTGAATGTGGTTTCTCGACATGATGTCCGATGCTGTAGCCCATTTTGATTATATGTTCCCATAATTATCACTTTCACAATTGACTTGCCCTTGCATGTGTTTTTGATGGTTGCCACCTGCTGGATACGTAACCATTTTCGCGAACACCCGGTACCATAACAAGCTGATAGTGATTCATAAACACATTGGTGATACAGTCGGAAACATACTGTCAACTGTGCCTTCCGTAGAGATGTTGCTTCACTAAGGAAATATTTACCTTTCTTAAGAGCCGATGAATTTCAGCGATTCCTTGTTTTCTACAATTGGTTCTTGTGCCACCAGTGGGGCAGGAGATGTGATAACTTTTTCGCGAACAGCTGACATCATAACTATGTATCCATGACTACACGATTGTCACAAAGTCGAAATCGGGCACTGGGCTTCACTTTTAGTAAAGATGTTTCATGGTTCATGGAAATGATTTTCTTTCTTTAATTTTTCCAGAACCTATCTGCTGGATTTCAATGACCCCTTGTTCACTACAATCGGTTCCAAGTTCATCAAGGCCGTATGTGTCACTGAAATTATTATTGGTTTCGATCTTGTTCATAGCGAGTGAGTTTTGTTTTACGCAGCTTTTGGCAATATTCCAGCAATATCGCGGGGGACACCAGAAATGGGCTTCACACATTGTACCCATGTGGGGAATCGAACCCGGGCCTTTGGCGTGACGAGCGAACGCTTTAACAATTAGGCTATCCCACCGCCCGATCTTGTTCATATGTGGTACTCATGTGACGAAGTTAAAGCAGTATTTATGTTTGGCCATCAATGTGCTGCTTTTTCAAAATGCAGATCCAGATACATATTTCGAGCTGTCGTGTTTAGGGCCACTAACCTCCGTGGTCAGGCTAGGAGCTTGTGGTTCGAATCCCTGTTCGCAACGATGTTTCTAGGTTCGTCAGCACCATAACGCCGGCATAGTTTACACCGCATGAAGCTGACACGTGGTGATATAGCTCGAATAATGTTATGATAGTCCTTAAACCGAACACACTCACAACCTGATTCGACTATAGATATTACCAGTTTAGACTATATTGATATTACCAGATTATACCGTATGATATTTTCTTACGCACCGCAACAAGGTCGTGGTACCAGTCTTTTTGTCCTGCTTATTCACAGATGGAGGTCGAGTTTGGCATTGATCATATCTACAACGCGGATAGTTTCAACGAGATGACGCCAGCTTCGAGGTGAGTTTGTGTGCATGTGAGTGTTGTAGGCCGGCTCTGTGATGTCATAGATATACCGTCTGCCTGGAGAGCAGAACGTCGATGGTTCGATTCCCTGCGTCATACTAAAAGACGTTAAATGTGGTACTCCTTGTTACCCAGCCTCAAAGAGTGGTCGCCTAACAGGCAGTGGATGAGTGAGGTATCCAAGTTACCAACTATACCACTCACAATTACCATAGTTAAACTGTCAAGCCATGTACCAGAATATTGAAACTTTTTTGAACGGCATATCTAGTACTAGATTGTGTTTGTTTCAGCGACCCAGCGTACTTGGCCTCGGCGGCACGAGGGGTGTATAACGCCATGGTTGCTGGAGATTCCCAGGCTATTTGGTGAGGGTAATAGTAAATATAAATAACAACTACTTGCACACCGCACAAGTGTTATCGCTTTAATTATTATGTTTGCATGTTTCAGTTACAATATTTCCTCTCATCTCTGTATTCTGAAGTCACCTCAGGAGAAATCGGACGTCACACCTTCCAGTCGAACGTTTGAAGCATCAAGTTACGTCGAGTCATATTGCTAGGCTCTCGCTCAAGGAATGTCACAAAGCAACTGTAGCTCTGTTCAGTACCCAAACTTTAAGATATCAGTTTGTGACACGTGGCTTTAAGATTGTTCTGTACAAATACTCCCTGTAAGTTCCTAGTGTGATATTTAGAGAAGAAAATGGCCTTATGTGTTGACGTATGTAATGGTTATGTGCTGACCTCAAACATACATTTTCTATTGATGGTATTGTGATATTTAGAGAAGAAAATGGCCTTATGTGTTGACGTATATAATGTTATGTGCTGACCTCAAACATACATTTTCTATTGATGGTATTGTGATATTTAGAGAAGAAAATGGCCTTATGTGTTGACGTTATGTGCTGACATCACATATACATTTTCTATTGATGATATATATATATAAGAATCTACCAGTACCGAATTAGTGTTTACAACGTACATCACAGGAGCATGGATCGGATCGCAAAGACCGTCTTAATACAGTAGACTGAACTGGCCTTGCAATAATAGACCTAGTCTGTCTCACAGTCCCTGAACCACATTATTTTCCCAACTGCCAAGCCTTCTCTGCAATGCTAAAGCCCTAAATAAAGCAAGTTTAGATTTCCTCAGGTTCTGAATCTCTGGTCTCCCTTGGGCTCCTTTTCAATGTAAATGGACTTTTTTGTTACTATCAAAATGATATAAACTGAACATCATTGAACATAATACCACCTGTATTAGTTTGGATTTCGAAGAGCATAAATGAGCAATCGGTGTAAATTTTGCATACTTTTGTAGTCCAATGATTGGTAAAGAAAAGAAACAAGAACCAATCCAGCAAAACAGTGAAGTTTTAATTCAGCTGACCATGAAAGAAAGATGGAGTCAAATTGGAAAGTCAGTAACGTGTGTGACCACCGTTAGCAGCAACACAAGCTGTGCAACGTCTCCTCATTGAACTGATAAGTCTCTGAATAATGTTTTGAGGCAATGCATTCCACTCTTGTTGCAAGGCATTCTCAAGTTCCCCAAGGTTGTTGATCTGTAGGGGACGTGAGAGGCGTTGACCGATGTAATCCCACAATGGGAGACAAATCTGGTGACAATGCAGGCCATGGAAGTAGAGGAATGTTGTTGTTTGCCAGAAACTGTGTTGCAACACGTGCCGTGTGCGCTCGAGCATTGTCCTGCTGGAATGTGTGCAGATCTTGATGTTGGTTAAAGAAGGGAACGACGTTGTTCTGTAGAATGGTGTCACGGTAGTAAAGGGCATTCACTTTGCCACGACAAACTACCAGAGCGGTTTTGTGATGATAACTGATCGCTCCCACACCATAATGCTGCCTCCACCTCATCGATCTCTTTGCACAACACAGTCCTGATGGTAACGTTCTCCCCGTCGACGCCATACCCGTAGACGCCCGTCAGCATTTCGCAAGTGAAAACG